GAATATAACTTTTAAAATATTTCGGATTCTGCTGCCTATTCGTGTAAACCAAGACTTCTTCCCAAAAACTCCGAAAAATGAACTTCGAAGGTGCCAAAAGATCATTATTTTTCTAAAGTGTCGTTCAAAAGTTTGGATTTTTGGTTTTGGGTCAAATTCCTGTCCGTGGCTTCTTTGTCACTTTCTCTTGTTGTGATGCATTATTGATGGCTTTTATGCCTATGCATCAAACGTCTAGAAATTCTCCCTTGCGTGTAATCAAAGATGTAGCAAAGAAGACGTACACGGAAATGGTCGCCGAATGGGACGTCATGAAGGGTCACGCCCTCGGTCACGATCCACCCTTCACCATCAGAAGCAGGAGACTTCTGCTGCTCGCAGGTGACACTGCCTCCGAAAATCGAAACATGGTGATTGAACTTGTAAGAGATCCGTCTTTCAGAGACATCGGGTTCTACGGATTCCCACATTGTGCTCGTGTAACTTAGACACCCAGACTTTTCCATGATCTTACGCTCAATCTCACCTCCTCCGAAAATCTCCATAGCCAAATCCACCTGCGAGGCGAAGAGTTCATCATCAGATCCCAGGAAAATCAACTCCAAGTCAGAATGAATTGATGTAAGGGAAGAGTAAAAGAATTACGTTGATGGGTGAATCGCAAGTGTACAACTTCGACATCTTGAATTCGTCGGCATCTGAAACAACATCTTTAGGCAAGAAGGGTATCCCCCCAGTTTCTTCTTCTTTTGCCATTTCTTCTCTATGATCTCCGCTTAGAACCCTTGTTTTCCATATAGCCATAGTCGTCCTGTTCGCATTGTGAATCATCAAGTTTAAAAGATGCAAACAACGAATCAACAAACGTGAATCGAGAGATGATTGGGCCACTCAGGCGGATGACCGACCATGCGAACTTTTTAGCCATGACACAGTAATACCTGCTGGTCGCATCAAATGTCACAAATGATTGGAAATAGAACCAAAGTCTTCCTTCCTCGTCTTGAGACTTTGCTCCATGTTTCGCATCTAGACCTCGATCTTTTTTCAGAATGATGAGCAGCAAAGGGCTGCCTAAAGAAGCAAACGTTGGGGGAAGCACTTGAATTTCATCAATGTCTTCCCAGAGGAAGTAAAACTTGGTTTTGTGTCCGAAAAAGTTGGAGTAGAATGCCACAATTCTGGCAGACAGGAAGAGCTTGCCCTGTCAAACAGTAGTTCAAAGAAAAGCGTAAATTCTAACTCATCCAAAGAAGGGGGCAAGCAGTTACAATGGTGGAAAGAAAACCATCTCTTTATGCTCTGCCCTGTTTGTTTGCAGCCTCATTTAACCATGAAAAACAAATTTGTTATAGTATCTGTATGTTATGGTGTGATCCATGATACATCTTTATGTATTCAGGGGCTTTCATTATGTGATTAGGTGAATCTAGTTCAAGAATTAATCCGAGATACATGATTTTCCTGAAGACGGAGATCAGAAGAAAACCTGCAAAGGCATTTTTCTCTTCAGTTGGCATGTATACTCTTTAAGAAGAAATTCTTCATGCGGCAGTCCAAAGAGTTTCTGGAAAGCAGAGTTCTTCTGTGGTGACCGAATATTCAACTGTCAATGCCAAATCCAAAAGACATAAGGTCAGGAAAAAAAATGAACATGAAAATATCAAAATGAAGCCTATTAAAAGCAACTAGGAAGGATTCTCCAGCAACAAGACAGATGAGGAACAGAGATTTGAAGAGTCACAGACAAGAGATGCAGAGAATGACCAGCAAATGATATGGTGGTCTAAGTACTTTGAATAAATATACCTTCTTCCCGACTTCCTTTTCAACCTTAGTCAAGTAGTCCTTCATTGTTTCAACCCCATTGTTGTTCTCCAGGAAGATCCTCAAATGTAACTTTGACTGAGAAGCTTGGGCAAGATTACCCTCAAGTGGAACCCACAAGTCCGCAAGTTCATCCGGTGTAAGTTTCAAGAAATTTATCTCAGCATGCCCGAGAGAGGCACCCTGGTCGAAGGGACCATCAAAATCAAAGACCTCAACATCTAATACCGATGGTGGTTCTTCCATTGCATCAAACTCAATTACCTCTGCAAACACCTCACAGATGTTCCTCAGTCACAGGTTGCCAGGAAAAAAAAAACAGAGAGAAATACAAGCGGGATAAAAGAATTTTGACTTGTTTAATATGATGCCAAAAGAAAATTAATTACTGAATTTAACTAACAATACCATCACTTGTTCAATTCTTTATCTAAAGACTGTCCCATAAGAAAAGTCTGTTTACCATTCCATTGAGGTTCTTGAGCTTGAAGCTTGACAGAGCTTGTTCTCGTTTTCCCATTGCACGTGAAAACAACGTAGGGATCAAAAAGCTCTGTGCTCTCCACTGAAGCCAAATTCGTGCCTTTAATTAAAGCTATCGTGAGAATCCATCCTTTGCCACTGGCTTTAACTCCATGATCACATCCTGAAATCAAAATCATTAAAAGATTTCAGTTGGACTATGCAAGGAATTCGGACATGCTATTTTTTTCAGTGAAATGTCTTTGGCTTCACCTCTATGCAAATTTGCTTCTACAAAGTGCATGATCATCCTATACACACGCTGCAACAGAAGGACTAGTATTCCGCTAGTAAAAAGCTCTCCAAGGGTATCAGGCAAATCAAGTCCATAGAACTCATAACCCTGGACTTTGCTGGGTTCACAATGCAGAATATGAGCCATAACATACACAAACATAAGAACAGCACAGATGACATAGAAACTCCAGAAGTATTGGAAAGCTGATTTCAGATCAGGCTTCTGTTCTGATAATGTAGCTAGAACCTGATCTTTGTCCAACAAACTAACCGAATCAAGAGTCTTGTAATTCTTAGCAAGCAATTCAGCAAACTGTTCAAAACTCTCTCTCAGCCCTTGCCGAGCACCTCCTTCAATCATACCTTTCATCATGGTACTTTGATGGAAATGAATTCTCCATGATACAATCAGCCGAGAAGTTTCCTCACCAGAAGGTAGCTCGATTCCAGGTTGGATCTTGTAAAGCAACTCTACCTTAAAAGTGCTACCATATGGAACATTTGGTGTATTAACGGTAGCATGAACTGCAAAATGTTGCCCCTTTGCTTTAAGATAAACCTGCTCCTCAGTGGCCTTGACAGACTTTACCATCTTTGTTGCAGCTGTCATGTATGTCAGAACCCGTGCCAGAGAAGGATTATCTCCCTGCTTCATTATCCAAGGCTCTTCCTGTAAATCTGTTATCCCTTGAATTTCAGCCAACTCCTTCCTGAACTGCGAACTTGGTAAGAAAAGAAATCTGTTAAGATCACTGGGTGAGACCAGATAATTCTGGTCGACAAGAACCCCACCCGGAAGATTCTCAGGCATGTCGTCATTTTCGCTGTCCCTGGATTGCATCAAATCAAGTCCATCTTCAAAGCCAGTGGACTTATAAGGGATAGAAGATCCATCCGTGGAATCCTCAAAATTGGATGCTGAGCTGTGTTCTGATGGATCATTATCATTTCCTTTAGTCATATCCTCCTTCTTATGAAACAGCTTATCAAGGTTGTTGACAATTGCTTTCATCAATTTCTTCCCTTCATGATGTTTACTGCGTCGCCCGACTTTCGAGGAAACCAAATCTTTAGCTGGTCCTTCATATTCTTTCGAATCCTCCGTGTTGATGCCCGGCTCGTCACAAAGGTCTTGGTCATTAGGAATACCTTCCAATTTTCCCTGCAAAGAAAGGCTGAGAAGGATTTTCCCTGTAAGACCAAAGCAAAGTTTGTAAGCACCCAGATGTGCAATAAACATACGCATCAACATACCCAGGAAAAGAAGTCCACAGCATAGATCAACAACATAAAACAATGATCTTGCTCAAAGTAGGAAGACACCAAACTCATAAACATCAATGATTCTGGAATAATTTAAACTCGAAGCCCCACTTGTTCTGACACAAAAAATCACAGTAAGTTTTCTCCCCCAAAAAAAAAGGCAAATTTTAAGAAAGAAAGCCAGATTATTTCTAGAACATTTTTTCACATGCGACACGATGATGATCCTCGTAAACATGGTAATGTCGAAATATCATTTCTACCCGATTTCTGAACAAATGAAACAGCAATCTCATCGCCAAAAGATCAGCAAAGGGAAAACTCAAGATAAAACAGTGTATTCAGAACAATCTCGGGGAGTTATAACTCGACAAAACATACTCGCCTAAGGCCTCAACAAGCATTGTCTTCAAAGCCAGTAAATCGAAGAGCTCCTCAAACGAAATCAGATACTTACCGCATTCTATATTCACAAACTTTCCGTTCCTGGGTTTTTCGAACACGAACCAGGTCGGCAACACAGTCTGATTCTCTTCCCCTGTGATGGACGGAAGTGGTATCCGAACACGGCCAATCAACCCAGCAGAGACATTGAAAAGACTCGAATCCTGTTCATGCTGAAGAACCGACACGACCACTTCATCGCCTTCTCCGACACCACTGACCCTGAACACGAACTCCTCGTTCCAAATAGGGTTCTTCGTGTTCCTAACAACGCTCGTCTTCGATTTGTGCTTCCCGATTTGAAGCTTCACGTACGTATCTTTCACCGGTAAGTCCTTCGCCTGCAGCACGTACACGTACAGCCTCATCGCACACTACGAATTCGTGGGCACTACCAAAATCGATTTTGATCGGTTAGAGAGGCGAAAAACGAAATGGGTTTGTGAAAAAAAAAACGAAGGGAAGAGAGGTGGGTACGCATGAAACTGCCTCCTGAGGCTCCCTGCTCGGTGAGGGAGAAAATGGAGGAAAAGTGAGAGAAAACTTAAGACCCATAAAAGGGAGCAACCACAACGTGGGAGAGAAACAGAGCGACACGACAAGGCTGCATGAGGAAGACAACGGGGTGATTCGGATTTCGATGGGTCGGTTCTGGAATTTAGCGCTTGAACCAGATTTTGTGTTCGTCAGCAATTCAGGCTTTGAATGGTTTTAACTTTTTTGCACTGTGCTTTTCCATTCTTTATTCTTCACGTTGAAGCAAAGCCGTTTTCAGCTTTCTGTTTGTGTCACGATTCAGGAGAATGAGATCCGGAATGGCTAATTAGATCTGCTGTTATTCATAAAAACTTCAAATTATTTCCATCAAGCAATGAACCATTAACACAAATAAATTGAAAGGAAATAATTTTACAGATGACTACAAAACTAAGCTCCACAAAATCATAATGTAAGAATATCCAAAGGATATTTATATCCTAATGGATAGGTTACCGAAAAAGGATTACAAAATAACCGTAAGTTTTAATGCGTTACCAAAATATTACTAATAGTTTTATGCATTTTTTTTTCACTCTTTATTCTTTCTCGCCAATCGAAACCGTTTCAGCTTTCCCCAGGTGAGAAAGTAGGGTGCGCGAACGGTTCGCTTTGTTAATCCGTGTTCGGGTTTGGTTATTTCGGTTTTTAAAAACTCACAATCAAAAAGATATTTGATTTTATTCGATTTAATTTATTTCAGATTCGAATTTTGAAAATTCAAAACCAATCGGTTATTGAAAATTTTTCGGTTCAATGAATAATCTAAAATCCTTATTCGATTCGACTCAATTAATAACCGAAATAATCGAACCGAATATTCATCCAAGTGAGAAAATCCATAAGAATTACGATTTTAATTTGCAAAATATTTGTTAATTTTCATAATGTCCGAGACAAGAAACGAGGAACAACAAGTTCAGATTTCGAAACTGAATATTTTGGTTTCCGAAACAAAGATCATAAAAAATTGAACCTCGGTCACGTTTGTCTTCTGGGTTCTTATGCATATCGTTTTATAATATTTTTTTTTTTCCTTTGGATTTGTGAAAGAACTAACACCTATATACAAAAACTAATTTGATGACAATCCACAAACATGATCCAACCATTCTCAATTCCTTTGTTCTTTTCACACAAAAATACAAGCGTTTGGTGTGTCCAGATCCAATTTTAAGCATCATTGTTGTTATTAGTTTCCAAATTCCAATTATGTCTTTTTACTGATTTTTATATCTTTTCAAATTTTTTATTTTAGTTCTAGATATTACCTAGCTACAAAAACGTAACCAGTTACAACAACAATTTCTTATATTAATTTTTTCATCTTCTACGATGTCAAAATAAATAAACGAATTGACGTGGTATAACGAGACATAAACACATCAAATTATTGTAGTTAGGTTTTTTGGACCATTGTATATAGTTTATATATTTTTTTTAATCTATTAAAAATTTTAACATTTTTTGACAATTATATAAAATTTTATATATTTTTTTATCAGTTAAAAATTTTAGTATTTTTTTAAATGCAATTAAAAAAATTCATGTTTATTTGATAAAAACAAAATTTTGGTTTTTTTTTTTGTCAAAATCGTTAAGTTGAATGTTTTTTTTATTTCTCTAATAATAAGGTTAGAAGTTTTTCTATGAAAGTACACAATTTTAAAAAATATATATACGGATATTTTTATCCCATCAATAGTTCAACTTCATGACACATAAAAAAGGGAAACGAACAATTTCCCTTTGTAATATTACTATTTTTGCACAAACGTTCGTGACATGGTTCACATCCATTGTAAATCTATCTATTTCTATCTAGTTGTATCCATAAAATACAATAAACAAATGAAATCAAATAGTCGGTCCAAAATAGAATTGTATAATATTACATTTGATCGACTTTATTTTCTTAGTAAAAAACCTAAATACGTTATCGAGTTATCCACATGAATTTTGAAAATGTCATATTTGTATTTCCCAATTAGAATTTAATTATTATTGACCGAAACATTTCCTTCGTCCACGCATTTGACCGCCTTTAATTGTCCAAACCAGCAAACGGAAAATAAATAAATAAATAAAAAGAAGCAATCAATCATCGTAACATTCTCCGACCCCAACCTCCATCGATGCCGGCAAAGCCTCCGCCGCCGCGGCTCATCCTCGCCGTCGCCTTTGTTCTTCTCCTTTCCCCGCCGTTATCATCCTCTGTTGACTTCCTCTACAACTCCTTCAACTCCGCCGTCAACGCGACGGACCTCGTCCTCGTTGAGGACGCTCGCATCGACGCCACCGTCCTCCGCCTCACCAACGACTCGAACCAGTTCTCCTTCGGCCGCGTCTTCCACCCACAGAAGCTCCGTATCGTTCCCGACCCGATCAGTGACCCGACCCGTCTCTCCTCCTTCTCCACTTCCTTCGTCTTCTCCGTCCTCCCTGAGATTTCCACCAGCCCTGGATTCGGCCTCTGCTTCGTCCTCTCCAACTCCACTTCGCCTCCTGGAACTATTGCGAGCCAATACTTCGGAATCTTCACAAACGCCACCGTCAGATCCGTCGCGCCACTACTCGTCGTCGAGTTCGATACTGGTCGGAACCCGGAATTCAACGACCCAGATGGGAATCACATCGGCATCGATCTCAATAACATCGAATCGATCGTAACCCAATCTGCTGGGTACTACGACGATGCCAGTAATGGAAGCTTCGTGTCTGTCAATATGCGTACTGGGCAGAACGTTCAAGCTTGGATCGACTTCGACGGATCTAGATTTGAAATCAACGTCTCCGTTGCTCCCGCCGGAATTTCTCGTCCTCTTCGGCCGACGCTGAGCTTCCGCAATCCGGTCATCGCGAATTATGTGTCGCCGGATATGTTTGTTGGGTTCTCAGCTTCGAAGACTACGTGGGTCGAAGCTCAGAGGATTTTGGCTTGGAGTTTGAGTGACACCGGAGCTCCTCGCGAGATCAACACGACGAATTTACCGGTTTTCTTGCCGGAATCTTTGTCATCTTCCCTTTCCGCCGGAGCAATAGCAGGGATAGTTGTCGGTTGCGTTGTGTTCGTGGGTCTTCTCGGGTCTGGGGGTTACTTAATCTGGAGAAAACTGACGGTCGACGACGAAGAAGACGATGAGATCGAGGAGTGGGAACTTGAATTCTGGCCTCACAGATTCAGCTACGAAGAACTCGCCGCTGCGACGGACGAATTCTCCGGAGCTCGGCTTCTTGGGTCCGGCGGATTCGGTCGAGTTTACAGAGGAGTTTTGTCGAACAACAACGAAGTCGCGGTGAAATGCGTGAACCACGACTCGAAGCAAGGGCTCAGAGAATTCATGGCGGAGATCTCCAGCATGGGTCGGCTTCAGCACAAGAACCTCGTACAGATGCGAGGTTGGTGTCGCCGGAAAAAGGAGCTCATGCTCGTCTATGACTACATGCCCAACGGAAGCCTAAACCGATGGATCTTCGACAACCCTCAAGAGGTACTTCCATGGCATCGTCGCCGAAAGGTGATCAACGACGTCGCAGAAGGGTTGAACTATCTCCACCATGGTTGGGACCAAGTGGTGATCCACAGAGACATCAAATCCAGCAACATATTACTAGATTCCGACATGAGATCTCGGTTGGGGGACTTTGGTCTCGCCAAGCTGTATGAACACGGGGGAGCCCCGAACACCACGCGCGTGGTGGGCACACTCGGGTACTTGGCTCCGGAGCTGGCCTCGGCAGCTTCACCCACCACAGCCAGCGACGTTTACAGCTTTGGCGTGGTGGTTTTGGAAGTGGTTTGCGGCAGGAGACCGATCGAGTACGCAGAAGAAGAGGACATGGTGCTTGTGGATTGGGTGAGAGAGTTATACGGCGGAGGGAGAGTGGCCGAGGCTGCTGACGTGAGGATCAAACAAGAGTTCGAGGCCGAGGAAGTAGAGATGTTGTTGAAGTTAGGGCTCGCTTGTTGTCACCCCGATCCCGCAAAGCGGCCCACGATGAAGGAGGTCGTTTCGTTGTTGCTCGGGTCACCTCCGGAGGATTTGTTGGCCGGTCTTACTCCGACCGCAGAGGCCGCGGATTCCTGTTCTTGAGGTCTTCGTTACTCCTTTCAGGGTTTTTTTTGGGCAAATATGTTTGTAATATTCGTGGTCAGATTTACATAACCTTTGGTATTTGATTCATGAGAGAAGATACAAAACACAGAAAATTACAGAAATCGAATGATGTTTATTGCCTGATAACCTTTCTAACTTCAGCGTTTTTAGGTTTCAAGGACAGAGAGAGAGATTAGAGATTGAAGTTAAGAGAATGGAAACTGAGATTCATGTCTGTTCCTCTCTGACCATCTCCGATGAAACACTCTGATGTTTTGCGGCACATTGATGCAACTGATTGCTTCATAGATTCTGGTCCACACACCAACACTCCTGCATTTGATGTTCTTGATTCCTTCCGGAACTCCGAAAAAATCTCTGCTCAGAAACGTGTAAAAATCATGAACATGCCATAAAATGATTACAGTCAAACCGATCCGAGGAGTACCTTCAAAATCTGGCCTTTCTCCACAATGGATCTCATGTTCGTCGACATGGGCACTCGTTGATTCGATCAAGTTTCTGTCTCTGGCTTTCTGTTCTTCCGCAGACGACATGTTTAGCGTATCTCTCTGTCTTTGTCGTTGTCTCCGATGTTGGATAGTTGCGAGAAGACCGGCTATTGTTAAGGCTATGAAGTAAGATGCAATGATAACCAAATCAGCAACCCATGAGGGACTTTTCTCTTTCGCTATCTTGTTTCCTCCTGAAGCTACCAATTTCATAGACCCTGCAACGTTCTTCATCTTTTCTGCTGGTATCAAGACATGGCTCAAACCGATCAGAGCGATAATAAATGCAATTACAGTTATCCCGAGTAACGTGGCAAGCCATCGGGAACTTTCAGGGCCAAGAACGGGGAATCCCGAGCAGCCAGCCGGTCCAAAACAAACGGTCTGAACTACGGATCGGCTCAAGAGTTCCCTCAACGTCGAGGTTGAATGCTTCTCTCGGGTGACGTAAACTTTTAACTTGAGATGAACGTCGATAGGTTTCGAGAGTATAGAAGATATCGGTATCAACATGCTAATGTCTTGGCATGTCTTGACCACAAACAACAGTTGCATTCTCTTGGGGTATCTGAATCCGGGTTTGCTGCTCACGCAAGCGATTTCCTGCAAAATGCTCAGAAATGGAGTAATCCCGACCCCTCCTGCTACTAGAAGCATATTCTCGTACCTGCCATTGCAAAAACATGAGCTTAAACATCGGGTTTCGATGTAGAAAACCAGCCGATGAAGGGTTCATCACCTGAGGAAATCTACCAAGGCAGGTCCTTGAGGTCCTTCTACTCGTATTCGTATGTTAGTCTTCTGATCGTTACCCGAGCCTAGTGTTGCCTGCACCATATTATAAAGAGATTCTGTCCACCCTCCTTCACATTTCACCATAACAGACATCGTGTGTCTGTCTAAGATCGAGCTCGATGTGATACTAAATGGATGCCATTCAAATCGAGAAATGCTCGGTACGTTCATGAATATAACACTCGAGGGAGCATATGTTAGACCTGAAACCATCAGAATCTCTAAGATAAGCGACGAGCCTATATGTGTTTATAAGGATCTTAACAGAGAGATTTACAAAACGGAACAAACATTACTTGGGACCTTCGGTATGACAAGCTCGATAGCGTTACATGGGAATAAACTCGCCGAGAGGACGTAGCTCTCTGTTCTTGATTGTACAGTTCGAAGCACCTTGTCGAGGCCGAAGAGAAATATTCCAGGGAGAACCCAATAGAAATGGCGATCACCGGCATGGAACAGGAAGAACACAAGGAAGATTATGTACAGATGGTGAGTGTAGTAGAACACTTCAAATTTTTTCCTCCGAATCTGGGGAAGCGATGTGATCCACATCAGTAATCCCATGACGAGAGCAATCAAACCAGCGAGATATATCCGTCCCGTTCTCTGCCACCGCCATATCTGTTCTACAAGCTGCGGAATTGAGAAAGAAGAAGGCTTTTGGAAAGAGTTAGTTGTAAGGATGATTTTGTATATATTACCTCATCTTCGAAGTGATGGCTAACAAGCCAGATGAACAAGATGCTTCCACCGTGAAACATGGCGAAGAATATCATCGCAGTCCCGAGCCATATATGATATTTTACAGAGGCTTCGAACTGAATGTTCCATAACCGGAACACCGAGAGTCCTCTCAGGACAGGAAGTAGAAGAAGAGCAAGACATGCCTCGGCTAACAAACCGAACCTAGTAGCAACTCTTAGGTACTTCAACTGCCATCTGAAACATGTCCAGACAAACCGAATTGAAAGTGGATGAATCTGTTATCCTTTTTTAACAGAAAAGGGATGGAATTTCTAAAGTTGGAGAGAACTTACAGATCTAGTTTCATGGATTTTACCGGCATCAGTTTCTTAAAGTCGTTAGAGATGCGGGCATAGAAGGTCCACGCAAGAAGCAACAAGAACAGTAGAAGGGCAACGAGCTCGAAGCAAGAAACGATCCCAATGAACTGACTGATGATTATTGGATTCGAGACCGAGATTTGCGGCTCCACGTTTCCTCTGCAGGTTTTGTAACAAAGCAACGAGAGAACACTCCTCAGTTCATAAGCTTACTCTTTCATTCCATATGTTATGTTCTGCATCTTTATATGGACGAGACGTTTACCGATTTCGCAGATTCTGTGGCGGAAAACTCAGGTAAATCAATCCTATCATTGAAATAGCAACGACGGGAAATGACAATACGACGAAATTGAGACCTGATTTATTTGTCATCAAAGCAGCTAAGTTAGAAACTTTGGGAAAGATTTCAAAATGATGGTAAAATGGATTTTTACCATAGTAGCCGAAGAACGTATGCTTCATGGCCTCTTCAGCCTGACGCCAAGCTCGCGTCCATAGATTCGTGGGTCTAAGGATCCAAAGCGAAATCCAGCCGAGGAATATGGAAATCATCAATGCCCTGAGGGCAACGAGCGTGAACCCTTTTGCCATCCTCTTCTATACAGGCCGACGCAAAGAATGGTTTTCAGATTTCTCCAAGGGAAGATGATTTATACACATATAGGAATCTAGAACATTAGCAAAACAAAACAAAACGAAAAGATTTGTAAATCTTGGACCCACCGTATCAGAAAAACGTGCATTGAGTTCGTATTCAATGTTTCAATGATTTGAATGCACATTTTCAGGAACAATCTTGATGAAACCATGATATATGCATGCTCTTGATCACTATTGAAGAATTGGTGGCAGTCACAATCAAAAAGTTGCAGAATTTGATGTACCAAATAATTGCAGAAAACGCAAAATGGACCCTCGGTTTCACAGTGGATTTATGGTCCATGTTTCTCCAAATCTTCAACGATTCTTCAAAACCCATTAAGACAGAGGACAAAGCCCTCGAAGATCGTATCTTCATGACTCAACTGAGTTGCCTTGTTGATTCCTGATCCATTAAGACAAGACATAACTAGCAACGCTTACTGTGTTGTTGTTCACTGTGAAATTGGTATCAGCTTTTATTATAAAACTTTCATTTATTTATGATAATTCAGTAGGAGGGAATACTATCTTAGAAATTGAAGCAGATGAGGATCTCTGTAAACGTACCATTGGATTTGGTGAAGAAGAAAGACATCGGTTTCCATTTTCCCGGTGAAAATAAAACAAAAGCAAAGAAAATGATTTTTTTCCCCTTTTTAGAAAGCAATTATTGAAAAAGCAAAAATAAAAAATACTTTGGAAGTGGAGATGGGAGATGAAAATTTTGACACGTCGTTATATATTTGTTTTGATTTAATTTTTTAATTTTAGATGATTTATACTAATAGTTTTTTACAAATTTTTCTTTATTTGAATTAGATTTAAGTTTTATTATAAAATATTTATTTTTAAAAATTCGATTTATTAATTTTTTGTTTATATTAATATTGGGTTCAATTCGGTTAATTTAGTTTTAGAAAAATGATTTCAAATTAATTGTTAAAACAAATACATAATATAATTACATATAAATCAATTCAATTACACTCAATTTTATACTTTAAGCCAAACATGAATCATAGAAGTTGCAAACTTATCAAAGTGTTTTTTTTAAAAAAAAGTTTTACTAGAGTGTGAAAGGATCATTAAATAGACAAAAAATTATACATGTAAAGCTCATCAAACATATCAAATTATTAAAAAAAAATAGATTAATTTTACCAACAAAATTTCAAAACAGTTAATGGAAATAAACTAAAATTGTCATAAGTTTGTTAAGTTCAAAAAATAAAATACCTAGTCAAATTTTCAAAGTTTTTATAGATTTGGGAAATTTGAAGAAAAAACAACAAATCAAATTGAAACTTGATTAAATTTCCATTGCTTTATTAACATTGTGTGTGTGTATATAGTGCATGGACTCTATGAAAATGACGACCACCAAGCCTCAACTACGATTGCAGATCGTCCAATATTGAAGATGGGTAGGAAAGTGATGTGTGACTGAAAGGAGTCCAAAGAAAATTTCAAAGATAGTTTTTACAATTATTGTTTTTTTATATAATTCACCAGTGAACCTTTGTTGTATATTTTGCAACTTCGCCTTAAAGCATTTCTAGCACAGTGGACAGAAAAAACATCACCAGATTAAGACAATATACGTATATAGATATAAAACTGACTCATCCAACATGAGCAGAAAGCCATAAACATCTACAACTCCAATGGAAAAACTAATCAAATATTATCTAAATTGAAGAATTCTAAATTTCAAATATGGTTCCGCGTTATTCAATTGAATTGAATCAATTCCATTCGATTCTACGTAATCAATAAGCCCTGAAAAGTAATTTTTCTTAGCAACCAAACAAGGTTAACGTGGCAAAATGGGCAGATGAAATTAGACACATTAACCCAAAGGAGATTCAGATAGTTTCCATTGCCAACACATTTGGTCCCACACAAAAGGCTCTCAAGTTCAGATGCATTTATCGAATTAAGAGAGACTGAAAAATATTGCCATGCAAGTTCTGTTTCTCTGCTGCTCTAACATCTCTTACTCTTCAGCATTTTCCCCTGCTTCAGTTATACGGCCAACCACGAAAATGGTGCTTACCCACGGATACATGTACTTCTGAAATCGAGTCCATGATCAGACTAACTAAAACCTGCAATGAAAATGCCGCACCGACACTTAAAAGTCATAATGAGAAAGAAGCCCGTCTCAGTTTCTTCCTCCACTAATCATAACCAGTGTCTCCTCTCCGGACACTGCCTCTCTGCTGTTGGTAAAACCTTTCTCCATCATTCCTTTGGTGGGCATGCCCTTTCTCCCTGTATCTAGGACCCGAGGTCTGAGAACTCTCTTTCGTACCAACAGGCTGGTACTCATAATGGGAATTATGCCTTGGTCTATCCCTGCTTGGAGGTCGCCGTTGGTGGTGGGAATCATCTAGCACCGATGAATCGTCGTGACCCCTGCTTCCATAACGTCGACCCTGGCCCGTGCTCTTGTGGAACCCTAAATTCGAGTTCTGCTCTAATCGAGCATCCTTATTTGTAGGTGCTTGGACTTGAGACTGAGCGTGTCTGTCAGGTGGCGGTGTTGTCCTCTGTTCTCTGGTAAACCCTTGTCGTCCATCATTATGCATGTCCTTTTTGTTAGCTCCATCAGTTTCAGCTCCTGTACTATCAGATCCGGCGAACTTAGCTGCTCTTTGATCAGAGGAAATGGAAGTATGCATCTTCGGTTGCCAATGAGAAGACGATCGATCTCCAGGGCCACGATTCTCTTTCAAAGCACCGGGCAAATCTGATTGACTTACACTAGAACCCGAATGCTGCACATAACCTCTACGAAAATCTCTGTTATTGACATTTTTGTGCTCACCATAGTTACTTCCTCCACCTTTGTTGCCTCTGAAAGTTTGCTGCTTGCTACGGGCAGTCATTCCCTGAACCTTTCCAACAGCAACAGCTTGAGGAACAGTGGCGGTGGAATCCTGTGCTTCGGGAATCATAGTCCAGCCATCACTCCATTCATCATCATGTGATGCGGTTTGCTCTCTGACAAAGCCTATGTCACTTTTCTCGGTTTGCAGAAGCTGATGGTGATTCACTGTTCTTTGGACATTCTGATCTGAGGTTACAAATTGCACATCTTCTAAAGCTTTAGTAGATTCAACAGGTCCATGCTGACGCCATGATCCATGCCCTCTGCCATATTTGTTCTGCCTACCATTCCCATGCTTTGACTGTGAGACAGTCCCAGATTTCTCTGTGGTTGAATCAGAATAATGGTGGAGCATTTCAGTACCTTCAGAACCGCTGTATTCTTTCTGGGCATTTTCCAGCGCATGTGGAGCAGCAACTTCCTTTTTACTGACACTTTGCTCAGCCATTTCTTTTGCTATGGGCTTTGGTACATATCTCTCCATCTCCACTCTCTTGCTTTTAGAGTTATTCTGAACTTGTTGCCCACTCTTTGCAGAGGCAACAGATTCAGCCGCTGCCTTCTGGCTGGCTTCATCTTGGGTATCAGCTTTCAGCTGTGCACGCACAGGTGCCCACACAACAGCATCGGTGCCATGAAACCTCTCAGCAGGCTTATTCCCCTGTGAGTTTCTTTGAGGCCTACGTGAATGCTGAGATTTCCACTGGTTCTTTGCTCTGCCTTGGACTTCCTCATTAGCCACGGAAGTGATTTGCTCAGCAGAATCATCGGACTTTTTCAAATCCATTTGACATGGAACTGAGTCAGATCCCAACTCCATTTCAGCAGCCTTTTCGTTACCAGTTTCAATTGGGTCACCTCCAGATTTTGTTTCTTTTCCCACGTGTCCTGAAGTATCATCTGCTGTTGTCTCCACAACCTTATGCTTCTTCTTACCGTTCCGATTATTTTTTCTTTTTGTGTAGGTTAACTCTGTTGTCATGCTCGATGTTGCAGGCATATCTGTGTTATGGCTTAGAATACCTTCATTGACTACCTCATGAGATGGAAAACCATCAACTGCCTCCTGTGTACCAGCACCATGCAAGTTGCCAGCAATTTTTTTCTCAAATACAACATTCTGCTTCTGCCTATAACCCATGCGCTTCTGCTTTGATGCACCACCATCATGAACACGTGGAAGGTTATCCTGTTGAGTGGTATCAGCATTTATCACGAACTCAGTTGAAGTCATTACTTCTTGCACCACACTTTTTCTAGTTTGTCCAGGTGCCTCCTCATATATTTCAGCTCTAACTGTGGTGTTTGACTCACGGGGTGGTTGCCCAACATGGTCCATTTCAAAGTTTGAGCTTGATGGCAAGAGTTCATTTGAAAGAGATCGAGGAGCTTCAGGTGTACCAGATGCAGCTTCCACACTCTTAGCTGAATCTTCCTCAATTACTTGGGTACGCCTATTCAACTCTTCTAGTTTCGCAAGAGCCTTAGCCCGCTGATCTCTTGCTCTTTCTTCCTCCTCTTTCTGCCTTTGTAGAGCACGTTGCTTGGCCAACTCTCTCATCCTAGAACGCTGATTACAGAACATGTAAAATACACGGTCAAACCAGAAGAGAAAATTGAAAAGAACAGAAGAAACATTAACGAACAACAAAAACAATCGTGATAAAGTCTCTACCTGGCTATTTGGATCTGTAGATATTCCAGACTCTCCCTCATTCTTCCGGAGAAGAACAGGCCCAAGCTTTTGTTCAGTATCAGTATTCAAAGAATCAGCCATATGAGCTTTTGTAAAGCTCTCCAGATTTGTAGTTGGTATTGCAGTGGTGGAGCTTGAAATAGCAGCTTTCTTCTGCCAACCATCACCATCTTGATTGATCACTCTTCCTTTGCTCTGATAATCTGCTCTGCCTTGAGTTCCTTGAGTAGATCTCCTGTGAATACAAACATCAAATCTCCCCCAACATAAAGCACAGCAGAAACCACCAAAATACTACTGATACATTATAACTGACCTTGATATAGCTGCCTGTTCAGGGTTCCTAGATGTGGCTTGATCACCCTGTTCGTAAAAGCCTTGGCCCTTGCTATCACTTGCATGAATTGTTTGGGGATTTTTTGTTGGAAATTTATTTACATAATTCTCAGCGTTAATTGTACGCGATTTGCTCCCTTGTTGATCTCTACTAGAAACGGATGAGGCATGTCGTCGACCATCACCAGTACAAGATTTTGCATTCAAGCTCTCTATTTTTTGCATCCAACTGGGATCTCTGGGGGCAGTGTTCTCTTCCTTACTTTCTCGAACATCACCACCTGCCTCAAACAATTCTCGTTCGTCATTCAACTTTGATTTGACAGTGTCAGAAGAACCACCTTCCCAGGCCTGAGCAGAAGTCTCTGAACTGACATATATTCTTCTTGACTCGATATTTCTATCATTTCTGACTTCGGCCCTCCAGGGATCGTTTGAAGATGGTCTCAGTTTAGCTGCCTTCTCTGACTCAGGAACCCTATTTGTTAAAGATTCTTCCCACTTTGCTTCATCTTTCCCACACTGTCCCTCTTGCGGTTTCAAAAGAACCTTGTAAGGCCCTCGTGGTTCTTGGGAATGTCCGGCTTCGACCTGATCTGAAGCCAATGGTCTGCCGGCCGGATCAGATCCACCTTGACCTGAGTGCTTGTTATAACCACGTGGACCTGATGGCATCCCCAAAAAAGGTAAATCTCGATTGCTTGGATTGCAGTACCCCATTGGAGGAGCATAGTAGCCTTCATAGGGTACCGGACAGGGATAAAATCCGGGTCTAATTGGCATCCCTGGGCAGACATAAGAATCTGGGATTGGAGGTCTGACCATATCTCCATTTGTAGGGTGGTTACCCTTGGCACCAGCACCGAGTCCAGGAGCAGGCGGAACTTGAGGATAATATGGAAATGGGTCCATGGGAAAGCCCCGAGGGCCCACTGATTGACCATACGCCGGAGGGCTCCCTCGGTACCAAACACCCCCTGGATGATTATTCATTGGAGGGCCACGCCAACCATCAAAGTGATGAGGGGGGAAACTAGCATTAGGATATGATTGTGGACCACGGGAATCCATTTGCGGTTCCTCTATGCCATGCCGGGGTCCATCTTCACCGTATGGTTTATGATCTCTTCTCCACGTATTGACTTCTTCATCCCTTATATTAGCATCTGCAGGAAAGCCATCATAAAAAGGATCCCTCAGAAGCTTCCAGACAAACATGCATGATGCAGTCACTGACCATGCTCGCCCAAAAAAAAATTATCATAAGGAATGAATTGACTCTTGAACTAAAATGCACACTTGCATGCCTTCTGACGAGGAACGAAAAAAAGTTTGAGAGCAAGAACTTTCTATGGAATCTATACCTCGCTCTTCTGCAGCTGCTGATCTTCCAGATGATGATCCAGGACGAACATGAGGACCATGGTCTGGCAAATAAGTAGTTTATAAGTACCATGCCTAATGAGTCATATCGACTTATCAAAATAAAATTCATCACATCGACAGTATCTAATCTAATAGATCCTAAGACCCTAAGAAGTTGAATTGAACCAAAAAAGTGTGAACCAACCAACACCAAGCCAGAAAAGCTAGTTCCTTAAAAGTTTAGTTTTTAAGCATTTTTATATCATTCCTACAGGCCAATCTTTTTTCTCGGATCTCAACCCCTACGACATTGGCATTAAACAAGACAAAGAATAAACCCAGAACAGATGCATTTACCACAATTAACTCTTAGTTAATGTTATCAACATCAAATGAACCTGTCTATACTCGCATAGGCATTCCTAGAGGCAGTTTCAACTAAATTCCAAATGGAAATGCAAGCCACAGTGTTAATACTGATTCAAGCCACACACAGCAAGATTTTCTGGGTAACTGTAAAAGTGAATGAGACGTTTATTAACTCTTATGCAGGGCACTAAGATTAGATATTGAAGATACTGATGAAAACTTATGTTTTCTCTGTTCCTATGGGAAATTGCTTTTGCACTCTCTTGATGGCATTGACAAGAAACAGAAAACGCCAAAATTCAAACACAAAAAACAAAACAACAATATACGTGCATGAATGCAGCAACAATTTTGACTGTTAAAGGCAATGATACCTTGTAGCCCTGAGCTCTTTCCTGAACTTGCTTTCTCAGCACCAAGTGAAGGAAAATCTCCAGAAATCAAAGAAAACCCATCGTTCTTTATTGGACCGACACCCTGCGCAAAACAACTCAAAAGCAACGGATGAAGATTTCAGACAGTAAAAAGGAAAAAAAAAAGAAAGAAAAGTAACCAAAAGAGTATCCATAAACCAGTTGCTATAGATTGCTTTTCAATGCAAAATCACAGCTACTATTTTTAGATTGTGTTATACAAAATCATATTGCAAATTTTAAATATTATAGTTTTAAAGAAATATCAATCTAAACATCAAAATTTCCACAAAATATGGCGCATAAAAACAGGTAACAGGATGAATAATTCTGAACATGTGGATATCCCAACGAAACTTTGGAAACATGAAATTCATCAAATTTCCATCAATCGTTATCCAATTCCAATATCATTCTCTATAAGTTGATTAAAATGCCCATACACTCTCAACAATATTACCTCAGACAGATAACAAGAACCTGCACATCTGACAAATGAAACATCTGGAACATGTTTCCTCAGTAAACATGAATGGAACATCAAAGAAGTCAAATTATATTATATTTGGATCAACTAACTTTATATCTCAAGTTCATCAAAAGTACTAGCATCTACTCTCTCACAAACACAAGGACTCACTGTAGCTTACCATGCCACTAATCCAAAGAAAACAGACAGAATCACATAGGTTACAGAGACACTTATTTGAAGTTAAGAACCTTACCAACTTCTCTGATGCATTTTGGCCCCATACTGCAGAATTCTCTGGCGCAGCTTCAGCAAAGCGGGATAATTGGGAACTACAAGGTCTCGTCTCTGCACTATGCGGACGCGGCGGTGCAAGGGAAGCCTGATTAGATGGTAACACACCAGATGCAGATGAAGGCCGAGAGTTTGGATTCCATGCATTAGCAGAAGTTTCATATGCTTTATCACTACCAGCAGTTGATGGCCGAGTGCAAGTTCCACCAGAAGAAGGGCGATTACTAAGATGGCTTGGAGAACCAGCACCGCTTTCAGTGCGCGGTGACAATGACGATGGACCCCATGCGTTCAGAGATGATTTGCTGCCCCAACTAAGGGTTCCCCTATAGTTACACGTCAGAAAGAGAAAATTAAAACACAATATGAGATTTAGGGATAAAAAATTAGAGGCGTGAGAAAGAAAGGTGTATAAACTTACTTTGGCACGATTTCCACATTTGGGTCAAGACCCTGGTTTTCTAACCTTAAATGTCAGAAGAGAAGTGATCAAGACTAAATAACAGACAGGCATATCCACGTTAAGGTTTAAAGAAAATATAGCTTGGCCAAGTAATCAGTGTGTACCTTTGACTCGGTAAGTTAATGGGTTTCGGGACTGCAACCTTTCCTAATATGGTCATGCCACTTCTTCTTGCAGTACCCCATCTGCTGACCATCGTATACAAGTGTATTTGTCATTAAAGACGTGATCAGCAACAATAAAAACAGAGTAAACATTATTTCAGTGAAAAAGTGAGCAGAGGTAATAGAAGCAGTAAAATACTTAATTAATAAAGTATCAGAAAACATATCATTTGAACACAAAAACATTGAAGGGCAAAACAACATTCAACTTTCGCAGCAAGTTGTATTAATACAAATTCTACACGTAGTTTGCCATTGCAGTATCCTAGCACAGAAGAAAATGAAACTAGTGGTCTCAAGTTCTATTTTTGTGCTCTCGGTAAGATCAAGCCTGGGAGACCAACCAAATAAGCTGCCTCAAACAAAGCAAACACTGAAACCACAAGTTCCTTATATCTGTCGCCCATAAAACAGACAATCTATCAATCATTGCATAATACAGATATAGGCCCTAGCTCCATATAACGATTCAATGTTTCAGCAGCAAGCATGCTATGCTCATGTCAAAAACATTGATGTATAACCAGGAAACGTTACCTGATTCCAGACAACAAAAAACATGTCTAAAGGATAATACTACCGTTTTTTTTTACAAAACTCCTTAACATTGTATGAACAACATGGTAAATATTACAACAAAACGTGACGTATAACTAAAGAAAGGAACCTTCGATCTCCTGTTGAGCTAGAGGTCATTATTCAGCAGCTACTGCACAACCATCCAACCAAGCCTCAAAACCTGTAAACGAGACACGAAAAATCACATCCACGAATAACATCCCTCGGTAGAAAATCTCAAATCCAAAAGATCAAACCAAACTGACCCTGGAGAACTAAGAGGTTAAACTTCTGCCAGCCAAAACATCCAATTATAAACAAAAGATTTGCAGATTCAGTAATAGTTCCGAAAGAAATCCAACAAAATTGGGTGTAGATATCCAAAACAAGTGCATTTATGCATACAAGAACCCTGACAGTGTAGCTTAGACCAATATATATCAGTTGCTCGCCCCCTACAAGGGGTCACAGAATTGGACCTCTTATACATTTTTCCCAACAACGAACTCAAACTCCGATTAGCATCAAACATAAACTATTAATTTCATAACCAATAACCGAACCCAAGCTCAGTAAATTCAAATCACTCACCTGAAAATGTCTCGATTATCGAATTGCTTCCAAAACAATAGAATTCAGATTTTATATTAACTGCCTAAATGCATATGCAAATTCATCCATATGGACTCAGACAGCTAATATTCAAGCTAAATGGTTACTTTTTTAGAACCAGAATGATTCCCCCAAAAATCCAAAGCATTCACAGAGTAACCTATAAATCCAAGCACTTCGACGAAACCATGAACACATACGTTTCCATCAGCGTCAATCACGCACCAAAAAAAAAACACCCAACCACTTCAACAGGGTCACAAATATTCACTCGATGAATCTACAAACTTTTTCGTCACTCCTCACCCTCATTGTACCTCGCCATTCCACCAAAAGCTAAACCGAAATCGAAAGAAAAAACGAGAGAAATCGAGAGAAATCACTTGCCTTGGAACAAAAAGAGAAAATAATCCACCTCCTTCGACGACCCTCCTCGTAAACCCTAGATACGACGCAAAAATCGAAACGGGAGCAAAAGAATAACGTGGAAAGAGAGAAGAAGATCGGATTGTTCTCTGTGTGTTGGATTGAACGGAAGAAGGAGGAGCGATCGAGAAAATGAGGGAGCTGTGAAGAAAAACGAATCGAAGTGATTTTTTTTCCCCGTTCAATGGATTCTCAATTTTTTTTTATCGAAAGAAGAGAGAGGAGGTCGAAGTTCAGGCCTGCACGGTTCACAGCTTTTTTTATTTTTTTTTTTATTTTGGAAAATGGAACGAATCCGTCTCTAGGGGTGTCAAAATGGCCGGGCCGGGCCGACCCGGCCCGTAATTCTTCGTCGGGCCGGCCCGGTCCGGCCCGGCCATTTTGACACCTTTAGAGACGGATTCGTTCCATTTTCCAAAAAAAAACCCAAGCCCGCATTTTAGCCCGCATTTTTCGGGCCGGGCCGGCCCGGTCCGATGGACGATTGGATTTCAATTTCTTAGATCCAAGCCCGTAAATTTTACGGGCGAGCTCGGATCGGGTAACGGGCCTCGGTCTTTTTTTACACCCCTATCCATCTCCACTAAACTTTCGACCGTCGGATACAAAGACATCGATTCCTTATGATTTCTTATATTAAATATAAAACTGCTAATAAGGAAAATCTCAACAAAGCTAATTCATTGGGTTCAACCTTGTTGTGGTAAATTGACGAGGAAAATGGTAGAAAAATAAATAAATTTCGGATACCGTAGTTTGGAAATCCGAAAATAAAATATGATCAAATCGAATTGAAACATAGATTTTAATTATTTTTTTTAGTAAATGGTAAACTTGTATATATATATATATATATGTTACTGAAATACATAAGAGAGATTTAAATTACAGCAAGATGAAATCATCATCAGCCAAATAAAAATTACAAGCGATCAAAATATTAAAGAGAAAATTGTACAGAGTAAGAACCATCAAAAGAGTCGGTAAAGAGGATACTTTGCGTTTAATGTAACGAAAAATATCTCTTTAGTTGTTCTCATTGTACCAAAAGGAAACGAAAGGTAGACATTACCAAAACAACGAAACTTACTTAGCTCGGTCCCTTGCCTTACGACCCCTCTTGACCACTGAAAAGTCTTGCGGGATCTTGGGCGAAACGGCTGCTCGTAAGCGCAGTAAACGTTGAGCTTCCTGCACTAATTCATCCTCGGAATCAAATATGTAGGTTGTATTGATACCTCTAGATTTTAATTTTAATTAGTTACTAATATATCGACATTGTGTTTTGAAATTTCACCATTTAGACGTTTGAAAATAGTTCGATATTACTCACTTACCCTCGTTCGTTATCATCTTCACCATGGCCCTCATTGTTTTATCGTCATCCAAGCACAAAAATCACGACAGTCTCTGCATTGATATTGAAGTCTATTTTTTATGTATATTTCTTCAATCTCGATCCTAACTACGTGTATACAAATACTCAAACATTTGGTGATAATCACTCGATATAGAGTTTAAGAACAGATTTCGGATTCTAAAATAGAATTAATCACTCGATTTTTATTATATATGATATGCATTATAAAATTATCATTATTTTATCCGATTTCTAAATTTATGGACACTGATTATCACACATTCTCATACTAATCTCTGAATTTCTTTGCCTCTCTCGTGACTCTATTTTCTGTAGCAAACCGAGCGAATTTTCTAATGGGTTACATAACGGGAGTTCCACTTGTATGGTTTTAAGTGAAGTTCGAGTAAATGAGAAATTATAAAGTTGCAATTATGTGGAAGTTTTAAGGTTGTAGTAGTGGTGAGTTATGGAAGAAATTACTAAAGATAGTTATTATATTTACCTATAAAAGTGTGGATCAATATTTGTAGGAGTTATTGCATATCTTATTGCTGCAGTCAATAAATGTTGAAGTCGACAAATGTTGTGTGAGTTTATGTAAGAAAAGAGTGGAGTGTTTTGAGTGTATTGCTGCAGAAATTGTTTCTCCATTTCTAAACCTCAGCATCTTCCATTACTATAAGACTCTGAGAACACAAGAAATGATCCAGTTGGATCGCTTGAGTTTCTTTTATACACCGAAAAATTATAAATGTCTATTATACCCTTAAAAAGAAGGAAAAGACATTATCACCCTTATTACTAAAGATCGCAACGTGTCGTTTTGTTTTTATATTTGCTCTTCTTTGATTTTTTTTTTTCTCCTTCACTCTTTTTGTATTTCTCTCATCAACATATATTATGAATAATATGAAATATTTAATTCGTTGAGACTCTAACAAAAAACGTTTTTATATTAAATATATTAAAATATTAATTTAAAAATACTTGTACGACTTCACAAATCGGTGATTATTTTACGACTATAAAACGATGTATTTACAACCAATGTACCACAACAATACGACTTCACAAATCGGTGAGAATATAAAAAAAAGTCGTGAATTATGACGATTTTTTGTAAACGTATAAAGGTTATCTTCAATTTAAACCAAATTATTTGGTTTGGTAATCGCTTTTATTCAATTTCAAATTTTTGTCATATTTTTCTTAATTTGGATGAATATAGAACTTTATGTATATTATATTGTTTGTCACACTTTCATATTCTTTGTATCAAAACAAACAAAACAAAACGATTCTCAAACATTATAATCTGGTTAATTTGAATATATTCATCACCCCTAAACGAAAAATCGTCCTAATTCACGGTTTTTTTACACTTTCGTTCATGTTTGAAGTTATGATTTCGTCTTATATAAGTCACTAATGAATAATTTTATATTCGTAAAATAGTTTCAATAAACTTATTTTATTTTATAATAAGACAAATATCGTCATACATTGTACACACGCCTTTTTTATCGTCACCTCAATTCTAATGTGCCATATAAAGTATAATTTTTATTTATTTTTTATTTATTTTATTTCTATCAAAGTTTTTATTTGTTTATTTTAATTAATAAAATAAGAGTGTTTGCGCCATTTTATATCTTTGGACATTTTTGTAATAAAAGAGGTGTAGTTGTGACATTCGTCCAACCCATCTGGACTATTTGTGTGAATTTTTCGGGTAACTCTCATTTTTTTAAGAGGGACGTGAAAAGCGGTAAAGAAACAATAACTATGCTTTTCAAACAACCCAAAAAAAAAATTCAAAATTGGGTGGCTCAATCGGTAAAGGAGAGGGCAAAGCTCTTTCCCAACGCAAGTTCGAGTCCTCACACTGAGAAGAGGCATTTACATAGGTTTTTCCGATCTTTTGGAAGATGTAGTCAGACCAAACACCCGGTGAATTTCCAGATTATCAAAAATAAAACACATGAAAAAAATACAATTATATCCCAAAGTATAGAAACCAAAAAAAAGAAAAAAAATATATTATTCTCCCGTAGTACTCTATCTGAAGCGAAGAGCTTTTTTAAGAAGAGTAAGCGTAAGTAAACTCCCTATTTTCAATATCCATACGGAAAAAAAAAATGCAGTTTGCAAATGATTGCGAATGAGAGCTCTAAGTTAGTCCATGTGGAGATTGATCTCTCAAAAACTTGTTAAGATTTTAAATGGTTTATTCAGTTTGGTTTCCGACACATCTAAAATAAACCATGTCGAACAAGATTAGGAAACACAGCCAGTGTATGGTCTTCCTCGAAACAAAAGGGTATAAACACGTGCCTCGCATGTATTATGTAATTTAAATCTCGGTTTAATAACTCAAAAACATTAAACCGGATCATTAAACCATTTAAAATACTAACGATCAAAGGGTTTGTATATTTTTTTAAAAATATAATATTTATTTGGTTAGTTATTCGTGTGATGTTGATTTACGGTGCCAAAGCAAAGGGGTGAAAGAGAACTGCAAACCCTTGTAGGTGTTTGCTGCGAAAAAAAAAAACATAATGCAATTGATAACTAGTTATTGAAATATCACATGCGGTCTTATTTTTGAAGATTGGATGTTGTAAACTAATTTAGAGATTCTTAATATACCCGTCGTACACATTCCCTCGTTCTAACTGATAATTTGGTTGGAATCGTGTAATATCGATGGTTGAATTCCGATTACTATAACTGGAATTAATATTTCACGACCTTTTAGTGTTTCGGTTTGGTTGTTTCGGTTTTTAAATTTTGGCTGGCCTTTAGGATTTGGTTGTGTCGTTTTGTTTCGGATTTTATTCGATTTTTCTTTTTCTTTTTTAATGCAAATATTTATTTCTGAAAAAATCTTATTTTTTCGGCTATTTTTATCCGGTTTAGTTTGGATTCAGTTTTTCCAATTTATAGAAATCATAACGATTCGATTTTAATATTACATTTTATCGATTACAGTTGTGTAGATTTAGTTCTTTGGTTGTTAATCAAATTAGTCGCGGATTAGAAACTTGTTGGTGGTGGCATCTCTACTAAAAGATGCATTTTCAGTATCGATAATGGTATAAACCTTCACATATATAATAAATATTTTGTTTAAAAAAAAAGGAGAGATTTGAAAAGATTATCTATATATAACTTTTTTTTGGGTAACCGGATATCTTGTACTAATGTCCAAACTAATTCACGGGATCGGGAGTCAAACATATGATTTGGATTATACGATGTCTCCCCAAATGCGAATTCGGTGCGGGACATACGCTTTGCATCCCATTTTACTGGTTTAACTATCCAACTTTGGGTATTACCTCTATATAACTTGTGATAATACAAACATAAAACTTTTCGTTTCACACTTCACTAATTATTTTTCATGGAATTAGCTCAAGGAATAGGCTTGCCCTTGGATAGAGCCCTGCATCTTTGAGAGCCATATTCATCTCTCCATAACCGTAGGTTCTTCTCGGGAATCCCGATACCAGTCGGTAGGCTCTGATTCCTCTTTTCCCTAGTGAATCTATGTATCTGTACACCGACTCGATGGTATCGTCGCCCGAGAAGCTCGTTTCTCTTCTTTCTCCGTCGGGAAATCTTATAAGTATCTGCGAAAATATCAATATCAACTTATTAGAGATTAACACGAGAACGTGTATATTCGTAATTTTCATTAGTTCGTTCCGAACTCTGTATGATAAGTCGAGCCATTATTCCGTAACATGTATCACAACAATGCAAGAAATTAAATTGAATGTCATCTTACTGATATATATCCATCTTCTGAAATTCCGATTTCAAGGAGGCATGTACATGCATGGTATTTACCTTTGCAGTGTTACCCGATGAACCTTTCGATGTCTTCAATGCTCTCATGTTTCGAGTGTCTATACTACCACTTTGTTCTCTAGCTTTCGCAGTTTGATTCTGCGTTTGCGTTTGTGTTTGCATTTGTTTCTCATAATCTCTTGGTTTAGGTGTTTCACGTTGCTTCTCAGCCTTTTCATAATTCGATCTTCTGGTTCTTTCTTTTTCCTTCTCAATAGGAGCAAACCCAAAACATCGTATCATCAAAAAGGATAAGTACCACAAATACAAACATGATACATGTATAGGTTTGTGTATGTATATATGTATGTATATATGTGTGTAAATAGATGTACCCTGTCGATCTGTATAGCTGCGAGATATGCAGCATCTTGTTCTTCTCTTAGTCTCCTGTCTTGTGTTATCTTTTCTTGTTCCTTAAGTTTACCAAATTGAAATGATAAGCCTTGTTCCTCCATTGTTCTCTGTAGAATCTCTACAAGCTGCTCTGGTGATACCGGTCCCTCTATCTACATAACCAGCACATGGAAAACCAAAAGAAGCTAAAGATTCCGTCTTTGAAACACAGGACTGTATTGTTTTTTGGGTTGAATTGGTTTCTACCATCTTAGTTTACTCTTGTTGGATGCAATAAATTGAGATTTGACCAGAAAATATAAGGAACTAGAATTTTAGAATGTCACGGATATCCAAAAGGTATGATTTTCTCACAACTTAGCACTGAATCTTGCAGAGTTTTGAATATCAGATTGTCTGAATAATGATTTCAATGCTTTTTTGTTCGAAAATATACAAGAAATTATAATATTTCGACATGGAAGTTTCCATGACGAGAACTAACCTGTCGTACGACAGCAAAGTAATCGCCATTTCCTGTCGAGGTAAGCACTACACAGCAGGGGAAGCTTCCCGGTCTAAGAGTGGCCACAAGATTTGCCCCTTCATCTCTATTAGAAATTGTTCCCCAAGAAACAAAATTCACATCCAAAAACTGAATCACAATCTCCGAACAAAGAGTTTCTCTACAAAATGATGGAGTAAAAGGGTGATTGAGATCATGCAGATACACAAACACCAACTTCTTCTCTTCTCCAGCCATCTTCAGAGCTTCTGATAACTTGCAGGCATAGAAAAACGGATGATTTGCACCGTAGTTTTGCTCAAAGATGGACAAGAATGGTAATTCGGCCAACGGGTTGTTTTGGTATTGGATTTGGGAGATAGGTTCAGGAAAACCGTGATCACTAGGGTTATTTCTTGGCCTTGAAGACCGGGGAAATCCACCTAGTAAGTTCCATGGAAGGCTAAACATTCTCCGAGCCATGTTTTCTGCAAAAAGACTGTGTGATTTCCTCGTGTACTCAGTTTTGCAATTGCTTCTTGTTTATGACAGCCATTATTCTTCTATTTCTATATGAAATGTCTTCATCATCTATGTCAAATCATCTCGATTCTTTTTACACCCACTCTGGTTTCTTGAGTTTGAAGCCACTCGAAAAAGGGTTGTTCCTTTTAGGTGAAGCCATCGATGAATTTATGCAGAGAACAGATTCTGTTAGGATCGAGTTCTGATTCTTACCATAGTAGCAAAGGAAATAAGAGCATTAAAACAAGACATGTTCTGTATCTAAAGCAGAAGATGAGTACATGGAGATTCTAAACGGTGATAAGTGTTTTCTCTCTCTTTTTTCTTGGTGAAGTTACTAGGCTTTAGATACAAACAAAATAAAAGGTTATATGAGTTTTAATATGTTCACATTTAGGGTTATATGAGTATTAGTATGTTCAAGTTTAGGGACTTGAACGCTACACCATAACCTTCATAGTCCCATATTTATCAAATTTTGCATAGATTTGGGCATTTGGTATACCAAATAAAATCGGATTTATTCGATTTTTAGATTTTATCGAGTTTGACCATATATGTCATGAGGTTTTATTTTGTTTTAAATTTACAAAATATGAAAATAGATATCTAAATCGAAATGGTCCCTTCAAGTAAAATAGTTCTTATTAATATCTCGTGGAATTTTATCTATTCACATTTTCTTTTTCTTTTCTTTATCAAAAACAATATTAATCCTCTTTGAAGATGTTTATGCCATTAAATCTTTTGTTTATATGAATAATATTTTAACTAGCAACCCACATGTATAAATTTCGTGGATGAGAAGTTTGTTTTGGAAAAAAAAAATATTATTTTAGGTTAATTTAAGATATTTAAGTGAGAAGTGAGTCCGACGTCATAACCGACCGTGCTCTACCGCCGACAGTCAGTCGGACATGACGAAGGCCGGTCGGTCCCTTACAAACCTCCAAACCCCTTAAATCTCCTAAGCTGAAATCTCGTTCAAGAAAATGTACATATTAGCGTGCCACACCTTCACTCATTCTTGAACTGTTTACTGTGGCTGAAAACTGTGTGGGTAAAATAAAGTCAAGCTTATGGTATTGCTCATTTTTCACACTCTGTAGTCTATCAAATTTGGCATGAACGCGGTTCTCGGTTACATCGGACAATTCACAAACCGAGTCTGATCATTTGAAAGGAGGTCGTATCACTACGGTTGCGGTTACGGGTGGTAACGGTTTCACAATGTTTGGTAGCGATTGTAAGAGGTTGATATTGAGTGATTGGGAAGTGGTTCTTGGTGGCAATTGCGGTTGGTTGCGATTAGGAGTGAATGGCTTTAAATTATCAAAAAATACATGATTTCAAGATAAATAATTTGTGATCATTCGAATCAAATGTATAAAATAAATTCTTTTGCTAAAATGGTTGTCTAGAGAAAGAACGAAAACTAAATGTATCGTAAAACCTAATAAGATAAAAATATATATATATATATATATATATATATATATATGAAATAATATTATTTTTAATCCGAATAGAAACCGATCTAATTCGGTGCATAAGCTTGGATGGATATGGGTTTGTAGGAATTTAATGGGATTGAATTCTACTATGCTTACCTCAAAGTCTCATCACCCAACTTGTCATAAAACAAGTCAAAGCTGTAATTTATTTCAAAAAAAAATATTTATTTAAAAACTCATAAAAAATAGAAATGTCAAAAAGGAAATGAGTGCTCGTAAGAGAATGAAGATTCCTTGCCACTCAAGCAAATAAAAATGTATAGATGCTTTTTCTGTACACAGAAAGTGGATAGACACATGAGCCTCACCTGCCGACTATATATTTATCATCTATAAATCTTTTTCTCTCTACACATATTCCCCCCAAATCATTCACTTTATTGTGGTTTTTAGACCAAAATTATATTTTATTGGGTCTTTTTATGTATGGTATTACAAATAATAATTCGGAATTCTATTTGACTTGGTTCGAACGGTAGTGCAAAAGTACTTGATCCGTTTTGGGGAAATCGCAATATGCTAAATATTTATTTTTGATAATCCGAAAGTTCACCGGGTATTTGGTTCAACAACACCCTCCACAGAATCGGAAAAATTCGGGTGAATGTCCCTCCCACGTTTGGGTTTAAATCCAGGATAAAAATATGTTTTATATATTCTATTAGCACTAACCCACCCAAACTTGGGTTTGACTGAAAGATTTTGCAGCATATCTCTCTTTATGTTATGATTATTATTTCCTAATTTCATATCTCACTTATATGAAATGCACTTTCATCTTTAACAACAGACTATTTTTAATGTGGGTATATATGTTATTTTGTGAAAACAAATAAAAGGTTTGATATCATTCAGTAGAGCAATAGAGAAACAAAGAAGCACATGGTGTCCATGATATATAATAGGTTTAAATAGAAACAAGGAGAGGCGGACGATCTTGACCGCCCAAAGTTGGCACCAAATGTGTTAGTGGCTTATTTATCAATCAAACATTATTTTCCTCGGCCAAAACACATAATACATACATATATATATATATATGTATATATGTATATACATAATTTGAGAGAGGAAAGATCTCGTTCTTTATTCTATAAACTCCACCGTTTAGTTAACATAATTATATCTCATTCTATGACACAGAATGTTTCCATGCAGATGCTCACATGATATGTATCTATTGGTTTTATATTCAATATTTTCAACTAATCTTTAATTGCAATATGAGGGTTATATTGTATTCCTTATTTTATTAAATATAGTTCCTCATTCCTCCAAATATGTGTTTTTATTTGGAAAAATATTCTAACAAAAATTAACAAAAAAACAAATATTCTAACAAACACCATATATCTTTCACTACCACCATTATATTTTTCATTTATTATTTAAAAAAAATAGTTTTTTTATAATTCAAAAATTTATCGTTCCTTTAATCTAACTACATATCACACAATACCGGAGAAATTCAGATTAATGTTCATCCCTAAGTGGAGACTCGAACCTGAATTGAAAATAAATTTTTGTCTTATCTCTTTAGTAGTTAAATCACCCAATGTTGGATATGCGAAGAAATAGTTGTTTTAAACCCTAATAAAGTACATATTCATTTAGGTCTATGCATGGACCATTCTTCATTACCGTTGTTGAAATCGCGATACTTCATCTTTTAAACCCTAACAAAGTTTTATATTTTTCAAATTAATAGAATTTTATTAATTTACATCATATTTATTTCAGATAAAATTAATCTATATATATATATATATATTAATAATATCTCTGTCAAAAAACTATATAATAAAAAAATAACCATATCTACATCTTTTAAACCAAATACCATAATATTTTCGTTGAAAAATAAATAAAAACACACATACATTATATTCGATTTATTGAAAATTAATGCATACTTCATCCATCGTCTTTAGTCCCTGTTCATCCATGTTTACGAGAAAATTTCAACAGACAACAATTATACTGTCTTTGTCTAATCATAAAAGTATATATATATATATATATATATATATATATATATACACAGTAGGGACATTGCAGGAATCAGTAAACTTGGACTGTATATACAAACTTAGGTTAATTAAATTTGATAAGGAATGGGGCCCTAAGCGTGAGGGCAGTCTTTTTAGGTCATTGCCCTTTGCCCACTTCCTTTTGTTCCTCTGGACCCTCCCTTCACAATATATATACATACATGAATCCCATACATGCACACACATATATATATATACATATGAAAAAATACACCCACCACCAAGCTATATGCACACATATATATATATATATATATATATATAATCCGTTTCTCTTCTTTTCACAAATTCCCACTCTGTTTCCCCCACACACATAAAGGCAGAGAAAAGTATTTGGGAGACTCATCATTATTCCAATGGTCCCAGTGACCCCTCCTTTCAATATCATCACCAACTACGAACCTACACTTACATATTCCATGTATTTATTTATACTCAGTCTATTAATCAATGTATTTTTATTTGAAATGGTTGGTTCTTCAGGAAGATATATCTATTGACATTTTATGATAAAATTTTGAGTTTTATTAATGAATTTTTACGTGATTAAAATATTATATATTTAATCAAAACAATATTTTGGAGCGGTGAAAAAAATCCATAACAGGTACATTTCGCCATTAAATTAATCAATTAAATTTGTTTATTTATAGGACACGGCGTGAGAATTGTGGTGAGCGTCATCACAAAAGTGACAGAATTTTGGATAAATTTTTTGTTTTTGTGTTCTAATTTTCTATTCATGATAGAATCAAAACTCAATAATGGGTAATCGTTTGATGTGCAAATGATTTGTTATATTTATGTTAATTTATTTTGATTTTATAAAAGCTATATTTCTTTGATTTTTTTTTGTTAATCTTTTTTATCCCGGTTTGATATGTTCTCCAAGATATTAAAAAGCCAATCAATTAGCAATCTGCACTTAACCGTTAGCGTATATATTCTAGTTCGCAATCTATTTTCCATTCCTTTCCTTCGTTAGTTTCCATTCCTGTGTATAAAATATTCTCAAGCCTCTCGCACTACCAAACCTCAAAACTTCACAATAACGAATTAGAATATTAAATTTTTTTTCAAAGAAATTGGGTATTCTTGATAATATATTACTAGTAATTTTGAGAATTTACCACTAAAAGTGTATAGTTTGCAAATACGAGAAAAATGTACAATTCTACGGTCTCTCTAAAAAAAAGAGAGGATATATTAACCCCGAATTCGTCGTGATTTCACATGATCTTCAATTTAAATATATTTATATATTATTCCATTTGCTTTCTTGTTTGAATTGGTGGTGATAGACATTTAAATCAATCAAACTCTAGAGATTATTCATTCGTCTTGTTTTTTTGGTTGTTCACCGTGCGTCATGAGCACGCTGTTCTTTGTCAAAAGCGGGGTTTTGGAGAACAAACTTTCCACCCTCAGAATTTGTTCTTCCTTTAGTGATTTTGAAACCAAACAAGAAATGGGTTAACAGTCATAAAATGACATGTCTCTTGTCCCTGTGGCAATGTCTGTCTGCTTATGTTTTATATCCAAATTTATTAAATAAAAAAAAAACGAGCACATAGATCAATATAGGAACGATGTTGGGCTGATAAAATACGTAATTTTCTATGCAATTCCGCTAAATTCAGGCGATAAAACTTTCAAATCCGATTTCATGTGTAATCCAAGTGTCTTTTTTTTCTCCTTAATTCAATTGTATGGCAGATTTATTTGGAATATATTAGGATTAGTGACTGATTAACAAATCTAGTGAAATTCTAATATATATATCATATATATAAGTGGTCCAACAAAAGCCAATTACTAATTTACTCTGAGCTTCACTCTCAGTTTCACTTCACCAAATCTAGCTTCTCGAGGTTCTTGTAGTAAACAAATGTTTTCCGAATTTGTACAATTATTACTGCAACAAAAAATTAAATGCAAGTTTAAATCGAATGTTAAAAACGCATATTGAAAGTTAATCCGTAAATTAATATACATTAAAAAAAACCCCATAACTCCCTTCTCTTTAGAAAATGAGCTTTTAGCATGACCCCACCCCGATTGCTGCCAGCAGTAACAATTTCATAATTTTTTATACTGTTTCACCTTAATTTGACCTCTAATATATATTTTATTTAGTAACGCCACATATCATACTAGTAATTGAAATGAAACGAAGAAAAAGTTAATTAACAGTATAATCCAATAAAAATAAGGTTAAGTAAAACATGAGGTTATGGGCAAAAGGCCCAACTTTTTACAAGTTCTCTTTAAAATGCAAGTCATGCCTGTCAAAGCTTTTCTCTCTCTCTCTCAGTGTCAGAATCCCAACCCCAAAGCCACTCCCCCTTTGATATCTCCAATAAAGAGGAGAAAAAAAAAAGCTAGAGAGAGAATTTTGAACAAAAAAAAGAAGAGAGAGAGAGAGAACCAAACTCAAACTAACATAGTTTTGTTTGCTTCCGCTGTCTCTACATTGGGATTAAGCCTTTTCTCATTCTTCTTCTTCCTCTTCTTCTTCTTGTTCTTTTCTTGGTTCCTCTCTCAAGACGCACAAAAAACCACAGAAAGAGACAGATACAAAGTGTCCGTTTCATTACAAAACAAGCCACACATCTCCATCGATGTCTTCTTCTTCTTCTTCCTCAGTTTCTCCAACTAGTATGATATCCAAATTTGTTGGGCTTCTTCTTGTTTTCTCTCTTCAACCTCACGTGCTACTGGGCTCGGGTTTCCATCAAAAGAACCAAACACTCAGACCTGATAAAGAGATTCTGAAGCTCAGACGAGTCGAAGCCTATCTCAAGAAAATCAACAAACCTCCAATCAAATCAATCCGCGTACCCTTCTCCTCCTGCACTCTGTTTCCATTGCCATGTCTCCGTTACTCTGTTTATTTTATTCACTTGATGAACACTTGATTCAAACACTTATAGTGAAAACTGCAGAGCCCAGATGGAGACGTGATAGACTGCATACTCTCTCATCTTCAACCAGCTTTTGATCATCCTCAGCTACGAGGGCAAAAGCCACTGGTATTTCACTCTTTAACCCATCTCAGATATTTAACACATTCATTGCAAATTTGTTTTTTTAATAAAAAAAGTGAGTATAACACTAACGGAGACAGGATTCGCCGGAGAGACCAAGAACAAGAAATGAAACGAAGGAGGAGAGCTCCTTTCAGTTATGGAGTTTGTCCGGTGAAACGTGCCCGGAAGGCTCGATACCGATGCGAAGAACAACGAAGAGCGATATCTTGAGGGCGAGTTCTCTGAGAAGGTTTGGTCGGAAACTGAGAAGACCCATCAGAAGAGATTCCTCCGGTGGAGGCCACGAGGTTACTTTTCTTTTCTTCCTTTCGTATTTTTTTTTTTTTCAATAACGAGATTCAATCTCCGGCCCAAGGTTAAACGTTAATTTCTTCTCTTCTTCCACATTTTTTTTTCTGATAACGAAGTTTAAGAAAATGGGTTCATTGCACAAGTTTTGTCGGTTCAATGTGTTTCGAATATGCTTTTATGGCATTATGGTATGTCAATTCGTGCACCCATCTTAACTTTTGCCAACTCCTAGTGCTATAATATTTCCAATATATAGTATTCTTAATTTATAGTATTATTTATATGAATGTTCTTCGTACCACCACCGTTCACCAAATCTTACCATCTCAAGCTAGATGAATACAGATCCGAAAAAGATTCCCATGTACGAGTTTTATAATTCTTATGTTGTAACTTCAAAAATGAACATTAACATTGTATCTATATATATATATATATGCAATATGTTGGACATCTTTGACCAATTGATTTAATTATTTCTAAGTGATTTATCATTGCTAGATAATTAAACTAAATTTATTCTAAAAAAAAATCGGTACGCCAAAAAAAGGTATGAGATGTAATTCTTTTTTTTATATTATTTGAGTAATTCACATGAAATGACATGCAGCACGCGGTGGTGTTTGTAAACGGAGAAGAATACTATGGAGCAAAAGCTAACATCAACGTGTGGGCGCCACGTGTCACCGATGCTTACGAGTTCAGTCTGTCTCAGATTTGGGTCATCTCTGGCTCCTTTGGTAATGACCTCAACACCATTGAAGCTGGATGGCAGGTACGTACGCACGTACACATTAATTTTTTTCCCCCATTACACTATTAATTAGTGTGGCCATTTTATTTCAATTTTTAAATGAAAATTGAATAAGATTCAAAATGTCTAAGAAAAAATGCGTATTTCAATCAGTAAAATTTGAATTTAAATAAAAACTGAACCAAATCAAATAAAATATAAAAATCTGATAAATTTTATTTTTATAAAACCGAAAAACTCGAATAAAAAAATAACCCGAATTATCTATCTCTAAGATTATTGATCTAGCTATTCGAGTTTATGATCATACTTGAAATTAGGGTTTTGATCCAATACTCTCATCAGAATTTGAATCAAGTAAATCGTACCATCATATTTCTAGGGTTTATACCGTCAATATAGTAGTGGCTATGATAGCCGAACATAAAGTAAAGGATGTATAGTAGTGGGTCCAAGTATTAATTTGGTTGGTGATTAAATGACTATAAGTTAATTTGCAGGTTAGCCCTGAGCTGTATGGTGATAATTACCCAAGATTCTTCACATATTGGACTGTAAGACCACTCTCACAACCCTAGTTTTGAATTATAATCTCTCGTTTTTATAAAATTATTACACATATCTGTTTAACGTTATATATATATATATATATATATATATATATATATATTATAAATTCAAATTTTTGCAGACAGATGCATACCAAGCAACAGGGTGCTACAATCTATTGTGCTCGGGCTTTGTACAAACCAACAACAAAATTGCAATTGGTGCTGCGATTTCTCCGAGGTCCTCTTATAATGGAAGACAGTTTGACATCGGTTTAATGATTTGGAAGGTCAGTCCATTTTTTAAAATTTATTTATTTATTTATTTACCCCCTGTCTTTTTTTTCTCCTCGTGAATTCATTTCCCTACTTTAACAATTAATAATATCTTACATAAAAATATTTTAAAAATTCAAAATAAAATTCGCATGATCATAAGCCACCAATCGTGTAGATGCGTAGAATTTTCTTTCCTTGGTGTAAGCGTCTATATAAAATTAAAATACATAGACTATTATGTAATGCTTACTCTGTTTGTTTAAATAATGTTGAATATTTTTATAATTAATCGAAACTTGTAATCCAGCGATATCAGTTAGATTTTTATTAGTACATATATGCAATTTGCAAACTCGTCTAACATGCATAAAACATATTATATATATATATATATATATATATATATATATCGTTGCTTTAAAGTTAAGGTTTGCATTTTAATAGTTTCGAAAGGCCAGGAGGACGACGCCGTCGCCCACTAACACACATCACCTTTCCTTGCACGTTGCTTCAGTAGGACAGTTATATGCTACGCATTTATACATGTCTCGGAAAATCTTTCTTTTTTTTATTTAGTCTGATTAATTAATTAAAGTTTATTATGAAAAAAATTTCGTTTGACAAAGCTTATTACGAGAATGATTATGCATTAATTAAACAAGATCCCGAGCATTCTTTCTAGTTTATTTCTTTTTGAATAATTATTTTTTGAAAGAATAATCTTTAAGATTTTCTTCACTTTTCATTTTGCTTTCTTTATTCCATTCACTTTTTTTAAGGTAAAACTCGCCTAAAAATGATTTTCATCTCTCATATACATGAATGGTATCGTAAATTATTGTGAATGGAGTATATCAAATTTTGATTGGGTTAATCCCAAAAAAACAAAAAAAAAAACACTGAATTTATTAAAATATTCTATATAAAAATTTTATTTTCAGTCTGAAAAACCTTAAATTTAGCAAAAAAATCACAAAAATTGAAAACTTATCTTTTTTCTATATAATATAAAGCTATTGACTAGTTTGACTAAAACTACAAATTGCTGATATGGTGCGGACTATTACAACATTAGTGACACATCATCAATTTAAAAAAATTAAAAATTAAAAATAAATTACATACACATATACAAATATATATATATATATATTACCTAAATTTGGGCGATCTAATGGTAAGAGAACATGTAAAGCATGTTTTTATCCTGGGTTCAAACCCAAGTATGGAGAGAGACATCCACTTGTGCTTTCCCGATTCTTTGGGAGATGTAGTTGGACCAAAGATCCAGTAAATTTTCAGATTATAAAAAAAATATTACACACATATAAATATATAAATATATGCATATATATATATGTATGTGTGTATATGAGTGTAGAATATATATGCATATATATTATTTTTTATTTTAGTTTTATTATTTATTTTTTATTTCTAATTTTTATTATTTAAATTGATGATGTGGTGAGTGATAATTCTGTCGGTACCATGTAACCAATTTAATGTGTTAAGTCAGCAGAAATTTTTTTTATCAAATGAGTTAACTTTTATATGAAATAAATTCATAAATTTTTAATTTTTGTGAAAGTTTTTGTCTAAGTTTATAGTTTTTTAATAGCAAATTGAAGGTTTTGTGTGGAAGGATTAACCCACCAAGAACAAGAAAACAAAGAATAAGACTAAATTTGCATTTTTTTTAAAAGAAATTTTACATTATAGCCTCTAGGACTAATTAATTAATTAATTAATTAGAATGGAAAGAATTTAGTGTCGCAAAAAAAACATCGAGACTGTATTAATTGCCTAATTGGCACTAAAATTACACGCAAGCTTACACAGTTTGTGTGTGTGTGAAAATTTGGTAAGCGCATTGAATTCAGGATCTGAAATTGATGTCAGAAATTAAATTTTAGGGCAGAACTTTAATGTTTTGTAGAAGTTGAATCATTAAGAATATGACATTTTTTGTTCACTGTTTAAAATAATGTATAGATTAATTGAGACTAATTTCGTTTCAATTATTTTTATATGATTTATTTTTTATTTTGAAAAAATTACACTCTTTATTTGGTTTGCATTCGGTTTATTTGGATTTGATTCGATTCGTAATATGATGGGTGCTTCATTCAACCTTTCTCGTGCACAAACCTCTCTTTGTTCAGCACCGAAAATTTGAGACAGAACCATTTATTTTTTCACGTTGATTCTTGATCCGTTCCGTGCCGGTTCTTGAGCATGGTTTTTTAATACCTAATAAACTTCCATTCGGTCGGTCCAACTGACAAAATATCAACCGGTACAAGAAGATTTTGCATTCATTCTCGGTTCCAATTTACAAAAGGTTCTTGACACATTTGCTGCATCGTGTTATTTTTGAAAAAACTCAACAGGATCCGAAACACGGGCATTGGTGGTTAGAACTAGGGAATGGATTGCTGGTGGGATATTGGCCAGCATTCTTGTTCAGTCACTTGAGAAGCCACGCAAGCATGGTTCAGTTCGGGGGTGAAATCGTGAACAGCCGATCAAGCGGAGGCGCTCACACCGCTACGCAAATGGGGAGCGGGCGTTTCGCGGACGAAGGGTTCGCTAAAGCGGCCTACTTTAGGAACTTACAGGTCGTGGATTGGGACAACAATCTCTTGCCTTTGAACAATCTCCATGTCTTGGCTGATCATTCTGCTTGTTATGACATTAGACAAGGCAAGAGCAATGTTTGGGGAACTTATTTTTACTATGGAGGTCCCGGTAGAAACCCTAGGTGTCCTTAAACTACGTGTAACCCTATATATATATATATATATATATATATATGTTTGTGTATGCATGGCTCTTATTTCTTTGTTAATTGTATTTTTATTTAGATTTATTTTAATCATTTTTGGGGCTTGATTTTTTTTTGCTTGCATCTAATTTCTCGGTGAACTCAAGCATCTTGTGATGTATCCGATGCATGTATATTTTGTGTCATGTGTAAGGCTTTTATTATAAGAGAGATCTTTAGGGTTTTTCTTTCCACTCTCTTTTCTTTCATCCTTTCAATTGATTTTCTTCGTTATTTATTCAAATGATAGGATGACTATATATATATATGTTCATAGATTTGGTGAAAAAATTGGCATATATAAACGTGATTTGTTTATATTTTTGGACTGAAAAATACTTTAGTATATTTGAAATCTATCCGAGACCAAAAAATCAATTGGATCGTGTTTAGTATCAAACGTTAACACGTGTCATTATTAACGGTTTATTTGTTAACCAACAATAGAATAAATATATAAAACTTGCAAACCTAAATATTCTCAATTGGACCGAGTCAACCCCATAGTACAGTCTTTAAATGCATAGTCCTTTCTAATTTCGACTGTATTATAAACCGACTATATTAAATACATTTATGGAATTTGATCAATATAGTTAATAGACTATTAACGTGGTGACAATAATGAGGTGGAGGACAAACTACATTCGGAGGCAAGATATAATATAATGGAATATTTCTTTCGTATTAATTGCTATTCTTTTTCATGTTCTGAAATTCTGTAATCTCATAATAAAATTAAATTTTCAACTTCCCAAGATTTTGTCTTGTCTTTATAAAAGCTGTCATTTTTGGTAGTCCCAAAATCTACGTCAATGGTGAGAGAGACGATGGTTCTATTTACCTTCTTTACCTCTCTCTTTTCGAAATGTTTCCAATTCCAACTACATCTAGTACTATCATTAGTTAAGTAATAAACGGAAACTATGTGAAAAAATAGATAATTATAAAACGCTCCAATATTTAATAAAAATAGGAAGAATTGTATTTTGTTTTCTTTTACAAAATCACCTAACTATATGTCATATCACCCCAATCAAAAATACTAACACATACTTTTAAAACATACTAAAGTAATCCATAAAATGCTTTAGAAATTTGTATGCCCGACACATCGATATGTAAAAACGAAAAATTTATCCAACAGATCATAGGCAAGTGGTCAAGTTTAGAGTAGGATGTAACTCTACTTGAGGTTGAGTATTCGATTCCTTGTTGATGGGGAGGGAGGTAATTTCTAGATTTATGTGATCCATATACAAAGACTGCTCTCGGACCGGAGGTTTACCTAGTCAGCGTGTTCGAATGATAGTATCTAGGGGTCATCCTTTATAAAAAAAAAAACAAAAAATTAATAATTTTTATGGATAAAAATAATAATAAAAAAACTATAGATTGAACAGATAGTAAAAGACTTAATAAAGTTTTTGGCAGATTTCTCCAAGAAAAAAAATCTTTGTTTAATTTCTCTACAGTGCTCCCAGTACCACAAAGCGACAACGCCGCATTAATGACCACACTGATCGGTAGTTAGTAGGAGTAAAAACTTGCATTTTTTTAATATTTTTTTCAAATTTGACGGGTAACAGTCAGATAATTGAGTTGGAGATTTCCCCTGTGGTATATGTTGTATCCGTTAGCAACATTTTATGATGAAATTCCCAAGCTTTACATCCGATCGATCGATCTTAATTTAATCTTAACATCACGGAAAGAATGATCGACCGTGCTTAATCGTAATTAACAAACTAAATCAAATCGTTAAAGACAAATTATGGGATTTACATGAGGTAGGTTTCACAGGAGATGAATGCGTTTGGGTCTGAAGAAAATGGGCATGGATGAGGTTGCGAGTGTTGGCCCAAAGCTTGAGGGCCAAAGAGTCATCGTTTGCTAAGTCCGAGCAATTGCCTTCGTTGCAGTCCGCGAAGTACTTCCCACTTGAACCTTCTGTGTCTTTGCTCAGTGCCACGTAACACGTTGTCGCTGCGCCCTGTAGGACTTTGTGCACACGAATTAGAAATATTTTACATCAAAATTCAAAGCTTACTGCAATAAATAAAATAATTAAACTTGTATCCACTCATTTGTACAAAGGAAATTATTATTTAGGGAAATTTTCATTTAAGTAAACCAAGCTTTTTAAAATATATTAAATAGATATCTAAATTTTTAATTTGACAAAATATAATATTATAAATATTAAAATGATATTTCAACTTTTGAAATTGAGTGCAATTCACAATCAATATTATGACAATATTTGTTCAAAAAAACAAAAATGCCTTTAATTTCACAAGTTGATGTATTAATTTGGTACATTTGAGACATTATATTGTCAAATTAAAAGTTTAGGAATTTATTTGATATATTTGAAAAGTTGAGTTTTTATATAGTATTTTTTATTATTATTTAACATATATAAACGATTTATATTTAGTAGTAAAAAACTATTTTGTAAGATCTTTTAGTGTCATAGATTCAATATTATTTTATTTAATTTCCGATTTGTTTTTCTAGATGTAGTTTCTCAAAATTGAAATAAGAAAATCAATTAGAGTTAAATTTGGGTTTTACTTGAAAAACATGGCTAATCTTTTAAAAAATCATTTTAAATTCAGTTTTTTGTAATCTAACGAAATTCAGGTTCGATAAAGAAAATGTTACATAAATACATCGAAATTCCATCCAAAATTAATAGGTTCGGAATTGGATATTCGTCGGGTTACTGTGTTGTGTATAATATATATATATATATATGTATATATGAAAATTTGGGAAATGTTACGGAATATGTCAGAATAAGTTGGTGGAAGAAGAATGTGCCTCATCATAAAACGGGACACTTTTGACAAAAAAAGGAAATTGAAAAGACAAACGCAAAAGAAAGACATTACCTGACTTGCAGATTTTAGCAGCTTGGAGGCAATAAAAAACAGAGAATCTGCAACACACGAACAATATATATATATATATATATATATCCATTCAGTTTCCGGATTTCCATAATCATATAAATAGAAATAAAAACACAACGTTAAAACTATAAGAAGCTAATTAAAAAAAAGAAAAAAAAACTAGTTATTTGCATACCTAAATTACCTGTAAAAAGTCCCTTGTGAGCTCTTATGATTCCTGTCTTGACGATTCCTGGATGAACTGCATTAATCGCTACATTTGCATTTCTTTCCTGATATATTTATAAATCAAATAAACTATGGGTTATTTCGACAATAATTTATGAAGAGAAAAAAATCACATAAAAATTGTACAGATTATATTTGTGAATTCCTATTGTTCGATGTATTAATGTATGCACCTTGAGCTGCCTGCTCAACTCTTTGGCGTGTAAGATAGTTGCGAGTTTCGACTGTGCATATGCTCTTGTGCCATTATATCTACAACAACATGAATAGAAAAAAAACACTTAAATTAAAATCGAATTCATTTTGTCTCCCCAATTCTAGCATCATCATGACGTAATAAATTATGATCGTAAAAAGTTATTTGTTTTTGAACCGGATCAAATATTTACATAATATTTCTTATATATAAGACACCATATTGAGATGATTCAACACCAAATCATCCGCAGAGTTTTAATCAATACACACACACACACACACATATATATATATATATATATTTATATATACACACATCATAAACGCGAAAAACATATCAGAGAAAATGAAATTATTGAAATTAATAAAGAATATGGAGAGAATGATGAAAGAAAGATGTTACTTTGTGGGATTGAGCAATTTGGTGAAGGAGAAGGAATCGTGCTTGACCCAACTGTGAATCACAGAAGACAGGTTTATGATTCTTCCTTGGACCCCACTCTTCTCTGCCGTCTCTACCATTTTCTCCATCAGCATCTCTGTTAATAGGTAATGTCCTGCGCCAATATACATTCATACATACAAATATATACATACATACACCGTTATTATCATACGTCATTCATATATCAGAAATTGTATGACGATAACGACGAACAAAATGGTAAAACCATCGCGTGCTCGAAGTGTTGATTACCCAAATAGTTTGTAGCGAATGTCAACTCGATCTTTTCCTCGGAGAATTCTAGATTCGGAGAGAAAACTCCGGCGTTGTTTCTGCATGCAAAAGCCATTCCTTTTGTGTTACAACGATATTTGATTTTCATCTATTTTTATAACCTCTAGTTAGACGTAGAAATGCAGAATCATCGCATGCACATGCATGCATGCATGCGTACGTACGTAGAAGTGGAGAGTATCTTACATGAGGATGTTAAGAGGAAGGTCCTGAGCGAGAAACTGAGAACAGAATCTCCTGACAGAAGTGAGAGAGCTCAGATCGATCTCAAGCACTTTGATTTCAGATCCAGGACTCTCTCTCTCTATCTTCTCTTTCACCATCTCCGCTTTCTTCATATCTCTCGCCGCCATCACGATTCTCACTCCTCTCTTCGCCAACACCCTCGCCGTCTCTGCCCCTATCCCCGACGTCCCTCCTGTTACGTACGTGAATCATACTTTTAATTTTCTATAACATTTTCCTTGGTGAAATACTGTTATTATGAGAGGTTATTCGAGATGATTACCACAAATACTATATAATATTGTTGTAATTCATTTACATTGGATTCCCCAATCCTCTCGGAGATATAGTTAAGATTAAAGGTCAGGTGAATTTTCGGATTGTGAAAAAAAAAATTGTTGTGATTTTTCAGTCTTTTATATACATTAGTATATACATTAGTTGATATTAAGTAATATTTTAGTATTTTTTTCCATTATATGACAGTTATAGCTTCCCTAATAAAATACAAGTCGGTTTATTTTGTGTGGGCAAGTTATTATTAATGAGTAGATAATGTTTGTGATCCTGATATCCGAAAAGGAAATCGAACGATGATTTGCATGAATAGTTCGCGTATGTATTATCGCAAAGTTTAGGCCGAGAAAGGTGGAAAGCTAAAAGAAGATTAATTTACTAAAGCATTATTATTATTGTAATAAGCAACTATTATTATAGTGGACAAAAGAAAAGTTTAAAGTCAAAAAGGAAATCAGTGTATGGTGGGATATGCTGTAACCCAACCGTGCAGCATCTTTAATTCCCAATGAGACAAAAAAAATCAAATCTTTGTATGAAATATAATATATATATATATGCATGCAACGATAATGAAGATGGAACATCTTCTATGCTTAAAATTTAGTGATAGATAACTGTTCCTCCAAATGATAATATATAATACAATTAAAGGAACAGTTATCTATCATTAAAATTTAAGCATAGAAGATGTTTCATCTTCATTATCGTTTCTGTTGTTCATATATTATATTGTTTAATATTCACAAAAATCGGAATATATTCGTTTCTGTTTAGATCCTTTTTAACGATTAATTTTAAAATGAATATTTATAAGAAAAGAAATTGGAAATAGAGAAATGAATGGTTATGGATATGATATGAGTGATTGAGAGAGGCTCTAACCAGTGATAATGGCAGTGAGATGTGAATGGTTAGACGAACAGTTTTGCGTAACTTCTTCAGCTGTTGATCTTGAGCCAAACCCATTTGGCCCTGGAATTCCTGCTAAGTACCTCAGTGTCCCCTTCATGTGTGTCCTGTTAGTTTTGGTGTATGAGAGAGAGAGAGAGAGAGAGAGAGAGAGAGAGAGAGAGAGAGAGAGAGAGGGAGAGAGAGAGAAGATCTCGAATTTCAATTTTCTAATTCTCAACGCCATGCTCCGCATTTATATATATAGATATATAATATGTGATGAATATGGAAAAGTTCATTTAGTTTTTGTAATTTTAAAGCAAAGTGTAATTTGATTGCTTGATGGACCCGAATTTCAATTTTCTAATTCTCAACGCCATGCTCCGCATTTATATATATAGATATATAATATGTGATGAATATGGAAAAGTTCATTTAGTTTTTGTAATTTTAAAGCAAAGTGTAATTTGATTGCTTGATGGACCACCTCGCACGAGTGCTCTTGCTCATGTTTCCGGGTTTTTTTTTTAAATTACCAGGAAACTTTTTATGACGAAAAGATTAATATTGCATTAATCATTTCGTAAAAATGTATCAAAAAATGATCCAAACATATTCAAATTGTCCCTTAGATTACCATACTAAGATCAAGTAGATTCGCCGCTATATGATTATGTTTAATCTACATATATCAAAAAAATAAAATACGCAAAATATGTCAAATAAATGCCAAAACTTTTAATTGATATATCAAAATATCAATGTTATAAATTGATATCACAAAAGTTAAAATATTCAATTTAAAATCTTGACTCTAATTGATATATCATTATCATTATCGATATTAAGATTTGTTATCGATTTCGTGATTTGAGATTTCTATTTTAAATATTTTATAGAGATGATATTTGAAATATCAATTTAAAATATTTTAACATTTGAATTACCGATTATATCAAATTAAATTTTCAATAAGGAGTGGGTGAGTGAGAACAACTTTTTTACGCGAGTGATGGACCGACTTCCTCTCTCGTATCGACGACGCATGCATTTATTTCTTTGGACAACATGCTCCCGCCAATTTTGTCTCATCCATTCATTATTACTTGTCTCATCTTAATGTTTATTTAATTTTCTTTTTTACCAAATGGAAAATATATTATTAATTAGTAACACACGCACACACGCACGAGTCATATAAATAAATTGCTTTTTAAAAAAATAAAATAAAAAATTGGTTATGACTTATGACTACAGAAAAAGGTAGAAAACATTGCCAACAAAACATGCACTAAACAATTTTACATTAGTAATAAATGTAAAAGACGTCATTCGTATCCCAATTATCAATTCACTCTTGTCCAAAAATCACCAAGAGGAAATTAATTTATGAACGATACTGTTTGACCTAATGCTATATGTTTTGATAAATGAATAATTATTTTTTTTAAAAAAGGTGGGCACGATTTACACAACGCGCCAAACTTTTCTTGATAATATATTTTTTTTTTTGCAAACATCTCTTGAATTTCAACTTTTTGGCTCATAAAATAAATCTTATCACATCATGATCATGTGAAAATTACACACACACTAATTATTTATAGGGTGTTTTGGTTTTGGAGTGATTTTGAATTTGTTTTAATATGCACAATTTCCAGTAGGGTGGGACGTTTCGATTCGATTCTTTGGAATCGAACTATATCTAATCGAAAAATGTGATATTTTTTTCAATCCAAACCATCCAAAATTCTCGAACGGTATTAATTTTAGAAAACCCAAAATTTTCATATGTGAATCAAATCGAACCGAAATTTTAAAAAACACGAAAACACGAAACTTTTTAAGAAGATTTATTTGTTTTAATAAAAACTGAAATAAAACCGAATATAATATAATAACCGATTGGTACCTATTTTTGTAAAATCGAAGGAAGAGAACCGAATCATTTCTGATCCGAATCCGAACCGAATACCGAAACGTTTATCCCTAGTTCCACGTATGAAACGATTATTTAAAACGTACAGTTTTCACCAAAAGTATTCACTGGCCCGACAAAAAGAGGGTGCAAGAATGTGAAGTGATCCACACGTGAAATCAAGAAAAGAGAGAGAGAGAGGATATTTACTCGAAAGTGTTCGAAGAAGAATACAAAAGAAGGAATCGAACCAAAGCCCCCAAAAAAGAAGAAGAGATAGAGTTATATGATGAGACTCGTGCGCTCTACCATGTAGCCTTTCACATCTCTGTGTCCCAACAAAGGCGTCCACTCATTCCACAAACATTTCTAAGAAACATAAAAGTCTTTCACATCGATCTAATGTGTCCCAACAAAGACAGCCACTCATTCCGAGCAAGACATACGATGTTGCTGCTCCGTGAAAAAGCCCGGGGGCAACGAAATTGTGTTGGAAACGGTTGGCATTATAAACCTTAGCAATTGATTCAGTGATACTCTTTTGTTATCCAGATCGTGTCACAGGGCAACGTTAATTTCGATTTAGTTTAGGGAGGAAACGATTTCCGTTGCCACTTTGTCACCCCATATTTGTTAGCAACGGGCATTCGTTTTTTCTTATAACACGGAAGTTCACTAGGTTTTTGGTTTAACCACATCTTCCAAATTTGGTAGCCTATAGTGAAATGAGAACATTAAAAACATGCTATTACCTCGAATTCAAATCCAAACGTGGAAATGAGTATTTATCTGGAGTTTGAAATGTTTTTTTGTTATTTGTAGTGGTTGAAGTACGTGCAATAAGTTTTCTGCATGTAACATATTCCCCTAAAATGCAAAGACGATAGAGAGTGAGATGGGAATGCAAAACAATGATTTTATAGAAGGAAGCCCCCAAAGTTACATGGAGAAGAACCATATGGAATAAATGCAATATAAAAGATTGCTTTGAGCGGACCAAACCCTACAACCACATGTATAGGAATAGAACCGAGCCAAATCAAAGAACTAGGGTGAATATATTATATCCGACTGCCTTATCATGAACAGGATCGTGGTTATATACTTTAAAACGCCTTAGTTTCGTGGCTAAATTTAAAACCACAGATCGTAGGATCTTGGGCTCAAAGGGGACATCATTAAGAGCCACTAGAAAGTTAATCTTGGGTTCACAGATCGTGTACCTAGTCACATACAACAATGTTTCCATGTAATCTAGGGGAGGCAAATGCTACGCTAAATATTCGATTGTCGGACAATTGACGTAGAGAAATCATGGAATTGGAGGAGAGAAAAAGGCAAAAAAAAAAAAAGAAAAGAAAGAAGAAAAGAGAGGCAACGAAGTTGACCTATCGACAATGTAGGCTTTCAAAATGGCCAAAACAAATGCAAGTAAGGGACCCATTTGTGTTCCCTATCTTGTTTGCACACTTCCATCACCATGTTCCTTAACCCACAAAAAAGAAAATTTTCCTCCGTTGGTTTCTTCTACTTTTACATGTGCTCTTGTCTTTCTTACAAAAGATTTTTTTTTTTTAAAAAAAAACATGTCTTAAAGATTGTTACACGTAGTATAGTATATATTCTCCTGTGATTGGCTATAAACCTAGTATTCAAGTTTGGTCTTGAGATAGCGGTAAGAAAATATACAAACTAGGTTCTTATTATGGATTAAAACCTAAACGTAAGAAAAGATATTCACCCGAAATTCTCTTTTCTTTTGGAACATATAGTTGGACCAAATAGTCGTAAATTCCGTATTATAAAAAAAAAACTTGGTTGATTTGGACGCATTATAGAGTTGAGTTTTTTTTACAACCCTTCAATCTAGTAAAGCTTAAGCCAATTTGTGGAACACAAGTACGTGCAATTTGGAATTATACATTTTTACCTTTTCTGCTTTTATCTGGATTTTCCACCGACTGTTTCCCTTCCCCCCTTTCTCGCTATCTTTCTCTTTCATAGCATGCTGAGAAAAAGTGAAAGGACAGATTGATTGGAAGGCCATTAAATTCTTCTTCCAAAATCCAAGAGAGAGAGAGAGAGAGAGAGAGAGAGAGAGAGAGAGAGAGAGAGAGAGAGAGAGAGGCTCCATGATTCTTGAATGCAAATTCTATGAACGACCTAGGTCTTGGACATGCAAGAAAGGATTCTGTACTAAAAAATTCAATTACGACACGTAATTTTGTTAGTTATTGCCTTAGAATCTCCCCACTTAAATTATTTGACAAAATTTGATAGCTATTTGTATCAATAATAAGGAATGATTTTATAAAAAGAAAATAACAATAATAAGTAATGATTGAGGAAAAATATGAAGGCATTTTCAAACAATGATTAATATAAGACGTAAGTAATTAACGGAATTACCGACCGTTATTCCCGGTTGTTACCATGCAGTTAATTATAATATCGCTTTAATTAGTCATACCAAAATTAATTTAAGTCTTAGTTATTATCATCAACGCACCACCAACTCCACCGAATCTTTCCACCATGCCTTTTTACTATTTTGATATTATATGATTTTCTAACGATTACATATAACTTTTATTTTTGACAATTTAATCAACAAAACAAAAAACAATTTACTTTAAAAAAAGATACAAGTTGAATTAATATGCTAAATTGGTAGTGTGAATTGTGGACTATTGAAATTTTCAAATATTTTTTCTTGGGAAAAATATACCACACCACATATTTCTATCAATTTAAAAATACTATATTTTTTTTTAGGAATTTAAGAGTTTAAAGTTTAACGTATACTTTGGATATGTTTGGATTCTATCTATATCAGATTTCTATTTATTTTGAGATTATATGATTCTCTAACAAATACCCCTTATTGACAATTTAATCGATAAAAACAAAAGAATTTATTTTTAAAAAGATATATATCGAATTAATATGCTAAATTGCCAGTGTGAATTGGACTATTGAAATTTTCAAATATTTTTTATAGGGAAAAATATATCACATGTTTCTATCAAATTACAAATACTATGTTTTTTTAGGAATTTAGAAATTTAGAGTTTAACGTATGCTTTGGATATGTTTGGATTTTATTTATATTAGGTTTCTGTTTATTTTAATTGAAATAAAATCATTTTTTGATTTGTTTTGTTTCGTTTTTCGATTATTTTAATATTTACTTTGTATTCAACTCAAATTTAATTAACTAAATTTATGAAAAATCATATCAAAACTATTTTAATTTTTTTATTATGTATTATTCCGTTTGTTTTAGTAAGATTTTAAATATTTGAACCGACAACTCTAATTACAATTCACAAATCTAGAATAATTGCATTTTTAATAAAAGTAATAAAAAAGTGAAAAGATTATAAATTACCGACAAAGCATAAAATATTTCGTTGTCATCAATCAAATTTCAACTATCTCTTGTCACCCATTTAGACAGACAACTTTAAAAAGGATTGGTTAATTTATTATAATTACCGTTTTGCTTATCGTGTAAAACAATGCATCGTTCCAATGAGAACTGACGGCACGTGCAGGAAACCAATGAGGAGGCGAAACGTGTCGTGCGGTAATTGTAAAACCATATGAATACCCAACCACTCATCTTCTTACGTATGCCTAATTACCATTTAAAGTGTCTTTAGACTTTAGTGGAAAAATGGATCGATACAAGAAAATCATTTATTTTATTCAATAATATTAATTTTGTTTACTTAAAAAAAATGTTTGTGTTTGGATAAGTAATATTTTTTTCCCATATCTAAAATTGTCACACACACACAAGAATTGATGCCGGTTGGGTATGTTAAAGTTTTATGATATCGGAATCTTAATAGTGGTTACTATTTATGGTTATTATTGTTTTACACATTTCTAAGGTAAAATAATTAGATCTAAATAATTAGTGATTACCATCATTGTCCATCATTATAAAGTAAAGTAATTAAAAAACCATATGCTAATTACAACAAGATTATCAGAAAAGTCTGCCTTGTCCTCTATTAATTCCTCGAACATTATCGTCATGCAATATTGTTAGTGTTTTATTGATTGCAGTATCTTCAGATAAGTTTTTTTTGGATAAGTGAACATACTGTACAAAAACCCAAACTAATCTCAAGATCGGAATCAACAATATGATTTGGAACTATGTTTTCTCTCCAAATTTGAGGTTTGAATTCGAGACATATGGTTATTATTTTGATTTGCCCTCTTGATGTTGAAAGTGTAACACCTTCTAAAGAAATCCACACGTTGGGCCGAAATCCAATCCTTTGGTTCTTTTCTGTTAGGACGCGTAAGAACGGTTTCACTAACGTGCGTTGGAGTTTGAGAGGCTCAAGGGTTATTTTTTAGACTTAAAAATCCTGTTCTAAGTAGAGTAGAGGTTTCCCAAAAACCACATTTTCTTTTTATAAATCTTCAAAAGTCATGATCTTTGTAAGAAAGAAATTTTTTTCTGAAACCCATTCCCCCATCTCTTTAACGCAGGACTTTTCAAGCACATGGAGATATTGGCTAATGATGTTGAGAGATCGAAGGAAACGGTACTCATCCTTATTCTCTCTCTCTCTCTCTCCCATTATCTTGCTTATGGTCTCATGGTCAAGTAAGTCGAGACTGATGGAACGATCAAGATAGGAAAACCCTTTGTGGTTAAATAGGTCGGGTTGCTTTCATGCACATGGAGAAGAAATGCAGACTGTTCAAGCAATTGAGCGATAGGTGTTACGTTTGATTCCAGGTCTTGATTTTGCAAGAGAAATTGGAACGAGGTGAAACGACTGAAACGCGAAATGCATTCGAAGGAACACGCCGAGGAGGGGCTGGAGAAAGATTGAATATCTCCGATTTGGCCGATAAGGAAAACGGCAAAGACACAGATCATGATGATGAAGATACAATGAAAGGAACAGACGACGTTGATTGAATTAACTCAGTTTCTCACTATCTAACCATTTTTAGACGGTCTCTCGTTTATACATTACTGTTATACATTTTTGAACTTTGTCTTTGCTTTCTGTTCTTAAAGTTTGTAACGTTTTTAGTAGAAGTTTTCCAGATCTAATGCTTCCACATTGAGGCCCTTGCCCTCGTTTCATATCGCGGATCTATTCAAATTTATCGAATTTTTCGCGGTCACACCTCTTGTCTGTCCCCCGAGATCGACAAAGGATCGTACATGGATATTTACATGCCTTTTGCGTTCCCCTTATGGAGGGCGAGTAGGGAACGACAAAGACATCATATGAACAATGGGATAAGATGAATCATATCGAATTCTTTTCTTTGATTCCCTATAAGAAACAATTCAAATCTTTTTTTTTCTAAAGCCTGTGGCTCCGCCTCCTCTGTGCTCACTCCCTCGCCTCCTCGCGGCCTATCTCTGGAGGAAACCAGGATTTCCAAATCATTGATTGGACCACTTTGGTTTCGAATCTCGAGCTCACCCCATCTACTGTTTGGACCACTTTGGTTTCGAGTCCTTTCACCGGGCGGACAGCCAACGGATGTGGAGTTGCAAACAGACACTAAGCACGTGTGTTTACTTCTTTGAATGAAGTTCGATACATATCAAAGATATGTCTGAACAATGAACCGGTTGCACCTGATGACCGACAATGAACCAGTTGCCTCATGTGGGGGGTTTGGCTTTATCACTGGAATTCAAAGGTTTGCTAAATAGCTACACCACACTACAGCAACCAATTCATTGCTCACACATTGAATATCAAAAACAGTGGCTTTAACAAAGTTATGTTCACCGTGTTCGAGTCCCGAAGGGGAATGAAGAATGCTTCTTTGAGCTTTTATTTCTGTCGCCGCAGAGGATAACCTAATCCAGCATTGCCAGTGTTGCCCACTGCTTGTAACGGTTCCAGCAACCCTTTCGCACTCCTCCCGAGGGTCTCCCCCTGCATTTTACGTTCATTGAGCATATGATAAAGGATAAGAAAACTCAGAATGGCAAAGGGGTATTGAAAAATCCAGTCGAGACAAATTCCATGGTTTAACCTCTTTCCAACCCATGTTTCCCATTATCCTCCTCGCATAGCTTTGGGATCCAAACGACATGTCCAATGCTTCGGCTGCAGCCTCCTCCGCTGAATCAGTCTCCGGAAGTTCACTTCCATCAGTTTCAAGCAGAGCCAAAGTCTTTTGACCCGGGCCGACGCCATAGCCGCCATGCAAATTCCTCCTCTCGGCTGCTCTGTCTCTGTATGCATTGCTCCTCTGCTGATATGACAGCACAAGTGAAAGGTAATTCAGAGCTTACAGAGTGGAAATGCAAATAGTATGAGCCTATTTCTGCAAGTGACCATTGCACATAGATGTTAGAAGGAGATTTAGGATTCTTCTCTTCACTGGCAAATGGATCCTCTATTAAATGCCCTGAAGCAACTAACTAATGAAACTACATAGAAAATTATTATGCTATCGTTTAAAGCGAAGGTTGTGTTCTTCTTCCCAGATATCTTATCAACCATTGTTAACAAGATGTTATAGAAATATATATAATATAAGAACCTAAAGTGAAAATAGTTCGAGCTGTTGAGACTGGTCGGTGTACCTCTTCAGCAGCGTTGAGTTGATATAGTGACTTTGCTGAGGATTTGAAGCCAGCATTTCCGTGTTTCTTCTTGGCTTTACATTTTGGATCAGAGCTTTTCCATGTATTTGAAATCTCTGGGAAACCCCAATCTTTTGTTGGGTTGGATGAGTCATACACCGACAATGATGCTAGGTATTCTGCACTAGGATTCCGCAGTTTATAAACTTGACCTGAAACCGAAGATTCGAATAAACATACCATTTTACATGCCGAGTAACAGGCCCTTTTTATTTCTGCGTCAACATTAACTACAAGAACAGATGCTCTAACAAAGAATCTGTTCATTTTAGCTGAAAGATAATTATTTTATTACCCGTGCATAAATTATTAGTAATAGGGAAATGTAAAACCTGTTCTAACTCGCACCAGATGAAGCTGTGCTTCACAAATTGGGGCGGTTTTGAGAAGTTTGCCACCAGAGGCCACGGATGGATGAAGTTTGGCAGACCGTCTCACCAGCCTCCCGACTAGCCTAGCCACCACGTGACCATTGCCACCTTTTCTGGACTCACTAACCATTTTCCAGTCCCACAAATCAACAGATGCGAGCTCGGGTAAGGCCTTCTCTGGGAACTCTATGACTTGACCATATTGTGCTTGCCATATTTCTTCCTCTGTTGAATGAAAAGCTGGTACAGCACCTATGGACATCAAAGCCATGCATAAGAGCTAACGGAAAACCATCATCATGTCCAACGGTATAGGCAAGTCATTCACTCCAAATGCTAAATCTAGCTTTTAGTGCATGATTCTACATCATGAAGCAATAAAGAGTCGGCCTAGCTGCCTGAATCAATCATGACAAGCCTAGAATGAAAACAAACAGTATGAAGTAATTTAAGATGATGCCAAAAAGCAAAACCTTCTTCAAATTCTCCTTCCATCAGAAAATGTGGATCAAAATCCTCTTCTGGAATCCATTCTCCCTCTTCGAGCTCCTCAGCATCATCATCTCCTGAAAGACGAACAAATTTTTGTAGCTTCTCTTAACATTCCAAACTTGAAGAGCAAGTTCACCAAAAACTTGCACACATAAATGTTAAATAGGTGTTATAAGAGGCAAATACCATAAGCAGACAACTCCCGGCAATTCTGGTCATCAACTCCAGAAGATATCACCGCATCATTGGGTATATCGGGTTGCTGGTTATAACCAGCTAGATAAAGGCTAATAAGTGTGTCTTCCACCCTGAGCAGTAGCAAACGTGATCATAAACCATATGATCAAGAAGCAGATACATGAAAAGAAGATGTTGGGAAATTGCCTACCATGCTGAAGGACGAGGAGGATCATCAGGTTCCTTTTGATTTGCACACCCTGTGGACACTTTTGAGCAAACATGCAATTAAGTCAATCGATATGATAAATGCTTTGCAACCATTCATGGAGATATTGGTAATACAAAACAATCCACTATAAGAGGGGTCAAAAATAAAAAAAAAATTCATGGAGTTAAGAATTACCCAGGTGAAAACATACATGAGTGAGTCAACACATAGAAGAGGACATCAAATTTCAGTTCAAACCCTGAGCAAGCACACACTATTTGGTTTTAAAGAGGGTATGCCAAATATATCTCAGACCTTCAATTCAAAACACGTAAACTATTGAATTTAGGAACAAAGATTGAAGAAAGACTCAGTCCAAGCCACACATCATGGCACTTGAAATGCAGAGTCCTCAAGAGGCCGAAATAGGAAAGGACCTTTTTATAACTGGAGAAGCTTAAAGAATGAAAGAAATAAACCTGAACCCAGAGAACAAATGGACGTTACCAGAGCTTTACCTGAAGAACTTTCCCCAGTGTCAATCACCCCATTCTGAACTTCACTTCCATTTTCTCCAATCAACGAACAATTCTCAACATGACCAGAAGCTACGTTTCTATGTGATTCATCAAGAGATGAGCTTACACGAGTCTCACCGAATTCCAAGGGCGTATATTCGCCATTCTCGTATTTGTAGTACATACAATCCTTGCTACTATAATACCAACCAGCAGTTGGGTCGTGATAAAATCCGCTACTGCATCCAAAAATCAAAATAACTCAGCATCCTATAACTAAGAAAACCAATAACTAGTTCAAAATATCTTCACCCTCATTTGCTTGATCATCATTTCATATAAGCATAATGTCTAATAACAAGTATATTGCTCTAATTCTCTGCTCTAAATTAACAAGATAGTGAACGGAATCAAAGATCAAATCTTCGAAATCAAGACCCAAAAGAAAAGGCATTCGAAAACCTAGATTCAGCGTTTAATCAAAGGTTAAGGAAGATTTTCGATGTCCTCCTAAAACCTATTTCACAGGGAGAAAAGCTGAAATCCTTCAGGTGACTCAAAGCATCGATCCAGATACGAAATTATACTGAATCTCTAACCCTAATGGTCAAAAGGAGAAAATTCGGGAAGAGACGAAGCCTGTGATGGACATAGAGCTGAGTGTTGTCGTCCCAAACGTAGGTGTCTTCTTCTTTCAACTTCTGTAACTCCTTCTCATCTGCTTCCATTGCTTCCACCCCTTTGCATTTTCCAGCTTCCGTTTTTCACTTGTCCTGGTTTTGTTCAATCCCTCTCCCTCTCTCTCTAAACCGACATTAAACCGGATCAAATTGAACCCCAATCAAAATTTATTTCGGCTTTGATTTGATTCAATTTTCTTTTATGATCAAATAATAGATTGGGTATGCTTCCGCTATATAGCCTATATGTGGTTCATATATACATATATATACACTCAACCATATACGTATATATATTCAGAATTTTTAAAATTAATATATTTATTTAAGTTCATTTATTTTTTATGATTTTCCCTTAAAATAATTTTATATCCTTCAACAAATTTTGTTTTACATTCCGTAAAAAAAGCAAGTAGGGAAAAAAGTAAAATTAGACCCTTTTCATCTTGGCAGTACAAAAAAGCTAGCTTTTTTTTACAGCATTACCAGGATATCAATGCAAAATTACAAAACAACAACATTTCATTTCGAATTTAAACACAAATATTTCTAGAACGTTTATCCACGTGTGTCAATTGGGCATATTTTTCGGTCTATATTACCAAACGCGAAATCCGTTTCTATAGATCTTGAATTTGGATCGAAACAGGTTAGATCGGACAGATCCGTATAAACTTTTTTTGTAAATATATTTTTTTTCATTTTTAAGCCCGAATCGAATTCGAATTCCGAATCAAGTCCAACCCAAAAACCTAAAAAATTTTGGACGATCCGAAATCCGTTATTTTTCGGATTGGACTAGGCAAAACCTTGGGTCTCGACCTAAAATTAACACCCCCACCTCGTTTACCTATATTTCTAGTTCTATCTTGGTCCTAGACATATTCATCTTATCAATTAAAAGTCAAACAAAAAATTTTACTTCAGTGGTAGATGTTTATAAATCAAAGTTTGTCGATGGAGACTCCACAATTTAAAAAAACAAATTAATAACGAGAAAACACAATAAATAAGTATTTGCTGAAATAAATATACAAATGATAATTTTTTTTTAAAAAGGTTAAAGAAATAATTACACTTCGTTAAAATAATATAATAGTAAATATGAAAAGATCAATGTGGGTCAGAGAAAACACAATACATTTCTGTTGAGGCAAGTCCATGTGCTCACATGCCTCCTCCTCCCTTCTCCTTCATGCGTCTCTCTTTTTCTCTCTTTGATTAGCTGAGAAAAAACCTCCAACTCCTCGGTCAACAGAACCAGGAAGAACAGCAGCAAGAAGATTCAAAACAGAAAAAATGAAGGAAGGAAATGATGGGTTTGTTCGAGCAGATCAGATTGATCTGAAGAGCTTGGATGAGCAGCTCGAGAGACATCTGACAAGGGCTTTGACTTTGGAAAAGAGTAAGAGGAAAGACGAAGACGACGGCGTCTCCTCCGCCGTAACGGTCACCGGAGCCGCCGCATCGGGTTCCTCTTCATCCGTCGGCTTGGCCTTGAACGGCGGCGGAGTGGGATCGAGGAGGCAGAGACTCGAGTGGGAAATCGACCCTTCGAAGCTTATCATCAAAGGAGTCATTGCGCGTGGCACCTTTGGGACCGTCCATCGCGGAATCTACGACAGCCTAGATGTCGCCGGTGAGTCAACCATTTGTTTTAAGCTTAAACTTGTGTTTTGTGTAGTAACAGCGAAATGCGTTACTTTGATTTCTTGTGTTCATCCTTTAATTCTATAGCAATTTTATTGACATCCATTTTGATGGAACTGCTATTCTGTGATATTCTCTGGAAATTTCATGTCTTCGGTGGAAGAAAAAAGGGAAAAGAAGAACATTAGTATACTTCTATTTAAACAGGTACTTAGATTTCGGGTCTGAGTTTTTGCTCGATATCAAAGATCAAAGATGATTCCGACAAACTCTATGAGATTATGTTTATATTTTTCTTTCTAATTCAGGCAAGTTTTGAGAATCTCTTCATTTCACAAGACCCTTTTCCTGTTTTTTTTTTCCTGTCTCTTTGAAAAATGCCATGTTCGTTGAAGTTTCCAACGTTTACAACTTGATCTCAAGCAAATTCATCATTGGTTTTGGACTCAGCTAATTCCTTTGCATTTTGATTTAAATCTCGTTGCTCTTGTCCATTTAGGTGACAAGAGTTCAGGGTTTGGTTTGAGTATATCTAATTCATACATTAAATTGAGTATACGGTATGTGTTTTTGACGCATTCTTGTGAATTCCGTGACGCCGACACGGGTTGTGATTATATTTCTTTTAGCCCGTTGAAGGCCTACTTGGATAATTTATGATTGTGCTTGTGAAACTTTCATGTGATTCCACTTGTTGTTGTCTACTCAGATTTTTTTTTGAGGAAAAAAAAAAGAAAAAAACTAAAGCAAACAAACAAAAAAAGAAAGAGGAGGAGAAAAGCTAGCAAACATGTTTTGCTTATGAGTTTGACCCATCAGTAGTTCACTCCACGAAACTGTTGTCTTAATATTGTTCAAAAGAAAAATGAAGCAAAGTTGCATTTTTACTGACATTTATTGGGTTTATTTTGTTTTACTGCAGTGAAGCTTCTTGATTGGGGTGAAGAAGGTCACAGGACAGAAGCTGAGATTGCGTCATTGAGGTCAGCTTTCGCGCAGGAGGTCGCAGTGTGGCATAAACTCGATCACCCTAATGTCACTAAGGTTCATATATATTCTCCTAGCGTATCTTTTTTAAGTTTTAACTCGTTTCAGCTCGTGGAATTTTCAGATTCAAATCCAAATTTGCAATACCGTTAAGCATTGATAGCGGATGGGTATATGGGTATGAGATATTCAAGCATATTCACAAGCTTATTTCATTTTATATGATGTTGCAGAGTGCTGGAATGCATATTTACAGTACTGAGTGATCTTGTAGGTCATTGTTAGCTTAATGACAGAGAGATTTCATCACCTCAATTAGTGATATGACATATTTTCTTCCGAGGTTGCCTTAATGCTTTGTAGAGTTGCTTTGCCTTTGTTTCAAACAGGGTTATGTTAGAGTCACACATCAACCATATGTAGGGTAATTTAATTCTTTATAAGGTTACGACCACTCTT